AATAATTAAAATTCAAAAAAAATTATTAGTATATTTTTAAATTTAATATATATAAAAAATTTTATTACATAAATTTAATTTTTAATTTTTTCCATTTCTTTTCAATGTATCCCTAGAATAGGTTTTTAATTACAATTTTAATTTTATTCAACCTATTATAACTCAAATAGATATATAAATCTAACATTAAGTTATATTCTGGAATAAATAACTAAAACGATTACAAAGTTATTTCGGATTGAATTATATACTGCCCAATATCTATTAACTCTTTATTTGTTGTTGTAATAGCACACTGGGACCTACTTGGAGGTATTTAAAAGCGCTTGGCCGTCGAGATCGAAGTGTGGCCTCGGGGCGTAGCCCTTGCCATTCTTAGAACCAACTCTTTACTTAGAAGTATTATTTAGCTTTAATTATTCGTTTATAATTATATTACGAGTTCCAGTGAGTGAACCTCGTCAGATTACTAAACATTTCTTAATTTTTTAGTAAATTAAGGTCAAGGTCCTACGGAATCCTGACTATTTATTAATTTCGGAATCACTTCAAGGCCCTAATAAAGCGCTAGTTATATTTAATTTTCTATCTGAACACTCTTAAGAGAGAGCTAAAGACAAGGTTAACATATAACATAACTTTATACCTTATATATTTCAGTTTCCGCAGTAAATGAATCCTTTTCCTGCATGAGAAATCTTTTTACAGCTACATCCTGACCATGTAGTTTAGCATGCCATACGTCACCAAATCGTCCACTAGCTTTTAGTTCAAGAAGTTGGATAGGGCGATTACTTAATAAGGGCGATGCATTCGTAACTTCGGTTTCGTTCTAAATAACATTATAAAAACCTATTTAATAAAAAGTAAATTATTTAAAAAAAATTTGGTTACTTACCGTAGGAATTTCATTAAAATTAGATTGCTTCCGTTTCCGATAACGTATTGCAAACGCAGATGCTACTGCTAATATGAGTAATAAACCGAATAAGCCCGCACCAAGTATAATATAATTAACCGAAGTTTTCTCCTTTGGCACTAAAATGCAAAATTAAAACAAACGAATTAACAATATTCAAAATTTTTAATAATAATATAAATCAATACATAAAAAATAAAAAATAATATTGAGATAAATGAGGTTATCTAAAAAAAAAAACAGAACTGAACTTTTGCAAGGTCTACTAATATAGAAAAAGTCCATTAATATTTAATTAAAATATATATACCAAAGACTCGAAATCAATCTAGAAATGTTTCCGTTAAATTCTTTCTAGGATATAATAAAGATCTACACTGGTATAAATCAGATAAATTTTTATTTATTCATTCACACCATTTAATTAAGTTTACGTTGAATTTGTTTTAGGTGGTTTTTGACTCTTAAATTTAATGATCTTTAAAAATAAAACATTACAAATCAAAAATAGTTAAAATATCATATATATATTTGAACGAATATTTAGTTAGTTCAAATGAACTAAAATGTCGGAGCTCTTCCAAACTGTTAGAGGTGCTCAAAACTGTTCGAAGTGCTCAAAGCGGCTCAAAACTGTTTGTGCTGCTCAACTTTTCAAACAGCTCGTATAATATATTATTAAATAATGGTTTATTTAATACTATAATTTAAGCATATTTAAAAATAATTTTAATCGGAGCAATTAAATGCTGCAATGGGCTTATATTTTCTTTACAATATATACGAGTATATGTATATATACGTTTGGGTTTCAAATTTCAAAAATTTGAATAAAATATTAAAATGTGAAGCTTACAGGTTAATAACATTTGAAGTGGAGAAATAGGAAGGCGCAACAACCAACGGAAGAAAAAATGAAAGTTTCTCCCCTAATTTTTAAACAGCAGAGCAGTGTTCAAGTGTACATAAAATCAAAATGAAACGAAACGTGCCTAAACTAAAAGTGCATAACAACATTTCATGATGACGCGAAGGGATTTGGTTTGGTTAGGCAATATGGAAAAAATGGCACCCCTTTTTTAAAAATTCAACATTCACAAAAATATAAAAGCTGCTCTAAAATGAAATAATAAATGAAAACAAGAAGAAAAAAGCCAAACACATGCCAACAAAGTTCCACAAAAATTTGCTGGTGCGCTTAGAGTTCGTTAACACGGTATTTACGTGTAGCAAGAGTAGCATTAGCTCCTGCAAAATAAATAACATACTGATGCTACTGCAACAGTCCCCAAATTGTACACGCTCCCACTCTACATTATAGCAATAACATACAAAATATATAAAACAAAGTAAAAAATTGGGGTTAGCACAGCATCGAGCTTCATAAACACGTGCCGCAGCCACAAACTCGTGCATGAGATTGCCTGCATAGCTGCCTAGATGCCTAGCTGCCATGCTACAATGCTACCATGCTACCTTCTGTTTTCCGATGTATGAACACGTAAATATTCTCATTCTTAAGTTACCTTGCGTTGTTGCTTCAGTTGTAGTGGGTATCCACTTTTGTTCTGTATTGCACATGGAGCCCTTACAGCAGCAAAAGTGTATATTATTAGGACGTGGTTCGGCAGTGTTTACACATTCGGTTTCTTTACATTGATCGTCGATGAAACAACCCTTCATAATTATTTTCGTATCACCTACAGATAAACAAGACAAATAAAGGAAATATGTTATAAAATTGTATAATTTATGATATATAGAAATAGATAATTTACCTGTTCTGTCATCTATGGACCATAATGAAAAGCATTTGGATAGTTTATCCGATTCGACTTTACATTGCTTCACCTGAGTGGCACAATTCCCAGTTATATTGCAATCCGTCTGATTGTAATACTCGCAATCAATTGTATGTCCTTCAGGTAAGATAGCTCCATCCGTCAAATGAACTAAATACATGCCAACATAGAAACGAAAATCAAAAACAAAATATAGAATTTGAAAAATGGAAAGTAAATATTATATAAAAATAATATTATATATCAGGGTTCAGAAAAACACTGTGCTGTGCACAAAAATGCAAAACACCACGCACAAATGTTGTGCGATTCTAAAATTTCACACCACAAATGTGGTGTGCGAAAATTTTTGTGCACATCTTAAGTGCACATCTTGTGTGCACAAACGAAACGCACATTTCACACGAGTGTGGTGGAGTGAAATAAAACTCGCACACGCATTCGGTGTTTGTGCCGAAGTTATTTCGCACAGCACATTGTGTGTGCGGCAGCCAACATGCCCTCGCACACAACGTGTGCAGAAAAGAATACGAGAAGCACATTTTGTGTGCAGGCTCGAAAATAAAAATGCACCCAAATGTGCGGAGACGAAATGTCTACTGCACGTTTGTGTGAAATGATGATTTAAAAGCGCACAATATTATGACAAATATCGCAGCAAAATAGTACGGAAAACTGATTTGTATTAATTTTGGTCTTAATGCGAAATATTTTATTGAAGAAATAATTTTGTATTTATATTTTAATTTTGAATTTATTATTAGATTTACATTTATTGCTTATATTACTTATTTTTTTAAGGTTTATTAATTTAAAATATGGGAATAAAGTTAATTTCACAATGTACTTGAAAACTTTGTTATATTAAATAGGTACATGAATTTAATAGAGAAAGAGTATTTGTTTCGAAATGTTATAAGTAAAGAGGATCGGTTCTACGGATCGTACTTTGAAAAAATTAAATATATCAATTTTGGACTACTTCATAAAATTTTATTTAATAGTAAGTTGTACACTAAGATTCGTTAGTAAAGTTATAAAAAGCAAATTAAATATTTTTTACAACAACATGAATTAATTTTGTTATTAGATTTCAATTAATTTTTTATCTTTAATTACAGCTTAAATTTAACAAAGTTATTGAAATAATTTTATAATTTAATATCTTAATTTCTTATTATAAAATATATAATTTTTATTACAACTTTTTTTGAAATAAATTTTCATTTAATCTTATTAATAACATTGCTGAAATATTTTTTTCACTTAAATTATATCTCTGCTTACTTATCACAGTAGAAAGGGCGCTAAAATCCTGCTACCTGTTCAAGAAAATATTTTCTTAATCTTTCGCGTTTTTTAATGAATGTTAGATACTCTACCTATGTGAATACATATTTCTGGAGAAGAAAAATATCTATTTGTGGCCCTCCCGTATTATCTTTTTTAAACTGTTGCAAAATTTATTAAACAAATACACCAATACCAATACCTGCTACCTGTTCAAAAAAAATATTTTCCTAATCTTTCATATTTTTTGGGCATAAAAAAATCTTCCTAAAATATGTTTTTATTTTTTTTAAACTGGTGCAAAACTTTCCAAACAAATACTTTAAGTTCACTTACTATATTTGCATTTAAAAATGCACAAAGTAATATACAAAAAACTAATATTTTAAGTTAAAATACAAATAAGGTTACGACAGTTATAATTTTTAGTTTACATTAATTAACAAAAATAATTATTTTAAATATTTGTTAATTTATGCAATTTTTAACATAAATTACGATCCCAACGAACGCAAATATCAATTTTTTTCAAAATTTGCAACAAAATAATATTTTCTATTTCAAACAAAATTGTGAAGTTCCTGTAATTTTTTCCACCCTTGGGTGCAAGCGCAAAATCGCACATTTGTGCACGTTTGTGCATCGCACATTTGTGCACGTTTGTGCATCGCACATTTGTGCACGTTTGTGCAGTCGCACATTTGTGCACATTTGTGCAAACGTAATATGAGCAGCACACTCGTGTGCAAAGAGAATTTTTTGTCGCACAGTGCGGTGCGAGCATAAAATTTTCTCGCACATCTGATTGTGCACATTTTTAAAAATCAGTCACACAGCACAAATGTGTGTGCACGAATCTGTGTGCACAATCATCGCTTTGTGCGATGTGAAATTTAAAATCGCACAACAAATTTGAGTGCGTGCATTTTTTTTCTTAACACCACAAATGTGCGTGTGCATATTTTAAAAATAATTTCCACTCGCACAGTGCAGTGTGCGATTTTGTGCACCACATTCCGAACTCTGTTATATATACATGAAATAGAAAAGAGAAAGACAAAAGACAAAAAAAAACACAATAATAAGCGAAAATTGTATAAATGGGTTGGAGTTACATTCTTTCATCTTTGCAGCGAGTTCTCACACTCTATTTTTGGCGGCAATTCCTTCTGTACTTCTATCGCTTGCGCAAGCATTAACCTAGCAAAACTGTAATACGAAACGAGCACATGAAATTTGCAGTTGAGTAAGGACATGCTCAGTGCATTGTGGAGTGGGTGCATTGTTTGAATTGCAGCAGTAATGGAATATGTTGAATAGGGTTTTAGACTTAGTTTTCGAGTTATGGCAATACACACAATGCACAGTGGTTTTAATTTTTTTGAAAATTAGTATAAAAATTACAAATATATATATATTGTAAAATGTAGGACTTACTTACTCCAACGAATAATTTAAACTATTGTGTAAACCTTATAAAAGTATCTACTGAACATATCTAATAAACGAGTATCAAGTTTGATGCTTCTATGAAGAATTCCAAGAGCGGACGAGTCTAAGTCCCGGAGTTTGACCAAGTGCCGTTCGTCACAACCAAAAGGAACTACACAAACAAATCTCTGTGGTTTACAACAACAACAGCAACATGTTTTTATATAAAGAAGTCTCATTAGATATACCAATTAACATTTCTCTAGAAACCAGTAAAATAAACAATTACATTCACTTTCTTGAGCTAACTTATAAAGTGTGAAAGACACTAACAACATATGTAACATCATGGTCAATGTAACTCTTAGTACAATAAGATCAAATCATAGGAACTTATTACCTGTATATATATACGAATAGTACATATAGTACACATATACTATATAACAACTCACGCAGAGAAACTGTTAATTCATTTCAACACGTATTCTAGAAATTGTGAAGATTTAGACAAAAAATATATAATAACAACGTATATTCTCTGTGCTTACCCAGATTTCTTTAAAAAATTGAAAAATCGTTTTTGGAGAAGTACTCATTTAGATGGTATTATATTATCTGCTAACAATTAAACAATGTAAACAAACAAAAGGTCTTCTAGAACTTCACAGAATGTGAATGTCAATGGAGGAACCGGTTTTTAATCCCATTTCGTAGAAATGGTGTTATATTATTTGTTAACAATTAAAATGTGAACAGCTCTTTCACATGCATAAATCAAGCTATGACAATGGGAATGACCAAATTTAAAGTTGATTTAGTACATTAAAACAAGTTGATTTAGTTTATTTATTTTTGCTTTTATCCACGCGTATTTTCAGTGATGCACACTTATTTGTACTTTATGTGTATTTATGTATTTCTAGATTAGTACACTTGCTTTTACTTGATTTTTATGTTTACATATATTATATATCTGCTATATACTTTCTTGTCAGTTTATGAAACTAATCACATCGATAATGACAAAAGATCCACTAAATTACATTAACTCAACAGAATGGAACTTGTGCATCTTTAGGAATTCCTTGTTAGGAACATGGTATTACAACGGCAAATAATTGATAATTATGAGAGACGAAGGACATCTCTTGATCAGCCTCTATAATGTACCAATCAACGGTATTGTAGCAACTTGCAGAAGTAAGTGAGATATGTATATGATAATCCAACGATTGAAGAGTAATAAACCTAATAAATTGATCTTTAAAAAAAATTTAAATTGAAATTTAAAATCTATAAATGATATACAGAAATGTTTTAACTTGAAGGTAATGGGTATCTTACGAACGTAACTTACATATCACGTAAGATCGATCAGTGTTACTAAACAATACCAAGATCGGTTGGTCGAAAAAGAAGGAAAAAAAATAATCAGAAACATAAAAAATAATACAAATGATTGATCCGTTCCAACAAAGATTTGGACAAGATAAAAGTTCGCTATTATATGACACATTGGATTGTTTTATTCGTTACAATTTTAAACCAACGATTTACCTCCTATAACATTAAAAGAACTATAAATATCTATTAACGAAATTCTAAACACATGTGTACTACATTATTTTTAATGGATCAAAAAATTTAAGAAATTAACTTTCCTATTTTCTCTGCCTTTCTGACCTAATAGCATTTTATATACATACATATATGCATATAAATGTTACTCATGCCTTTACGAAGTGTAAATATTATTAATCAATTAGTGAAATTAATTGTAATGTCTTTACATACAACATCTTAATTTTATTTTATGTTATCATCGAGTATGAGTTGTCAAATCTAACAATATAATATTCTCTAAAAGAATCTAAACCAATTTAATTAATTAACAAATCAATTGAAGTTTTTTATTATTTAATATCTTTTGATTAAATATGATCAATTTTGTAAAAATATTATGAAGAATTTCAGTGTTTGTCAATGTGTTTTGCGGTATTAATAATTTTTACCCACACTGGGGTACCCTAAACGAATCTAAATCGAATTCATTCTGAATATGTTTTCAATTATATTATAATATTTCCATTACATGCGAAATTTCCTAAGACCGTTTTTTTTAATTTTTAAAAATTACATCTAAGGACGTGTGCGAGTTAGGCTAAGTTGCGTTCTAAATGAGGAAAATTCTAAGTTGTGTCGATAATGTAGTGATGTGTCGATACCTGTTGATAAATGGCTAAATGTGTGCAGTGCAAAAAATCCCAAGAAAAGTCCCATTTGGTTTAGCATCAACTTAGCCTAACTTGCACACGTCCTAATTATCGGACAGTTTAAACTTTTGGCACATTACCCCACCAACAATTACAGACTAGATATTCTTAATAAAAACATTAAGTCAACATCAATTATAAAGTAAACCCTTTCACTCTAATCAATGTACATTAAGACTGAAAAGTTTTCGGAAATTCTCATTTAAAATTCGCGCGCTGTATATTTTTCGATATTTTAAGTTTATGTAGTTTGGCAGCACTGTCCTTAATTACTATGCCAAAAATGAGCGCGATCTGTCAGACAGTTCGTTTACGGCAGCTGTTGAAACCAGTTCACCTCAGTAGTGCGTTGCGAAATGTCTTCGACGGTCGTACGAACCTCCTGAAAGCCTTGACACACTCATAAACTTGAGTTTAAATAAACTGATTCCCAATAGCCGTTGTACATTCGCACGATCTGCACACGAAAAGTTCGTTCGATAACACAAAAATTGTGCAAACACCTTGTTCAATTTTTTCCATGTTTTTCCCAACCAACACAACTACTGAGGTGAACTGGTTTCAAAAGCTGCCGTAAACGAACTGTCTGACAGATCGCGCTCATTTTTGGCATAGTAATTGTCCTTAATTGCTGCCAAACTACATAAACTTAAAATATCGAAAAATTTACAGCGCGCGAATTTTAAATGAGAATTTCCGAAAACTTTTCGGTCTTAATGTATATGGTCATAACGCCAGTGCTCAACTTAACTCAAATGTATACATTACATTACTGTAAACAAAAAACAAGTTAATAACTGCTGTAGAGGAAAAGGATCAGAGGTACGTAGAAGAATAAGAAAATAAAATGATTTCACTGAAAGGGAATATAAGTCATTAGAATTGAAAACTTCTGTAAAAGAGTAAAAAATTCTCAACATCATTTACTACAATAATTAATCATTAATACATTTCTTGATATAGTTTTTATACTTCTTCATAACAAAAAATAATCTGTCAAAGCAAGCTATAAAGTGGCTTAAATTGTTAAGAGATACTTGATTGCCGAATAAGAATTTCCATTTCTGTACTACAATTTCTAAATCCCAGTACATGGATTTATTGTTGATATTCTTCCACACTCTGTTTTACAGTCGTTTTTTGACTCAAGTTATATCCCGAAAAAAACGATACAAAAACGCGACTATTATTATATACTCGGACAGGCAGGTAAATTTAAAATATCTTCAACATCGAACCATCAAATCCAAGTTAGTTAGAAGCTACAGACATCTTATATATAAATAAATTACTACGAATAAAGTAATACTCCTTTGTACACCTAGTCATGAGAAGATAAGGTCAGTAACTGCTTTCATAGGAACCGAATTCTGGAATATCCCATTGGCAGACTGAATCAATAATTTGTCAGAACCATACAATATAAGCTGCTCAAAAACCAACTCAATGGGGCCTTCTTTTATCAGTACAAACAGCTTATTCGAGTCAATAACAAATCAGACAAATTGTGTTAGTCTAAACAGATATTAACTTAGTTTAATCACTGAAGTAATAGTTGACAAGCAGCTGTCAACTATTGACCTTCAAAATGCAACCTGAAACCTTAATATTCTGTAAACTGTTCGTATCTAGGGATTACCAGAAAAAAAGAGTCTAATACCTTAATTTGACTTTAATTAAGTTGAACTAGATCAAGAAAAATATATGTATAAATTGATCAATTAAGGTATTTAAAAAAAAATTCTTTTTAAAACTAATAACTAGTGAACTGGAAGAGTAAATGGTAACTAATTTGTAAGCCGTGTGCGAGTTTGAGTAAATTGAGGTAGAGTAAATTGAAATTTTCTAGGGATTTTTTGCGCTGCACTTATGTAAATATTTATTTATTTATTTATTGCACTTATTTATTATTTTTGGTTAAAATTTTTCAACTTTATATAATTATTTATTAAACATCTTATAAAATTTTCGCAATGGCAACACCTAATTTACTTGATTTTTATCTAATTTACCCTACTCGAAATACTGGTAAATACCAATATTCGCTGCCATACCGACATAATTTACTATTTCCCACAATTTACCATCAATTTACTCGAACTCGCACACGGCCGTAATATGTATTTAATTATTTAATGAATTTATGATGTAGCCCACTGTGCGGTATGTAATTAGAAACTCCCAACAAGTGAAAATGTTACAAGTCAATTTATGGCAAAGGAATATAATGGTTTGTACTATTAAAACGTAAATGCATCCTTCGCAATGTAAACTGCCCCAACTTTCTAATATGTGTCTTCATCACTCATTATTCATTCACTGGAGATTAAAAAACCACCAACAGCAAAAAAACAACAAAAACTAATACTATAAAGGAATAAAGCGCAAAGCAGTTTTCCGTAATGTGTAGGTGCGGAGAGGAACACACACAAAACTACTACAGAGCAATAAAGGCAATGGCTTAGAAGAGCAAAATAAATACATATCGTACAAACATATATAAAAAATTGTAAAAATAAAAGAATGTTCGATTTAAGTCCGATATTTTATATAATAAAAAAAACACTCACCAAAAGTAACCAGGATTAATACTGGAAACGCGTGCAACGAATTGATTTTTCTCATATTTGCGGATTTTATTTTTGAATTTAAATATATTAAAATGTTCTTCTTAATAATAAATGTTGTTTCCTTTAAACCAATTTGAAATTGTAATTAAATTTTACGGTGGAATTTTTTTTTGTTTTTGTTTGTTTTTTAATATTGCTTAAATTATTTGGCACAACTACAATTTCAGGCTTAATTTAATTAATGTCACTGCGGCTGGACTACTATTAGACCTCTTTATTTATGTAACACCATTTTGGAGTGTCCTTTTGTTGTTTGCGACAGCAGGGCACATAATATTAAATATTAAATTTGTTGATTGTTGATTTGACTTTATATAAATTCCTTTATATATTATCTTTACATTTTGTTTGAATTTTGTTATTTTAATTGTATATTAACTAACCACTGTTTATTATTTTTTTAAATACTCAATAATAAAATTAAATAATTTTATTTATTATTTAAATTGCACTGAGATACGAACTTTGTTTTTATTTATTTTTGGTTTTTCACTTGCGAGTGCCTGGAATGCGCTGCTACGCACTGTGTATAGTTTTTTCATTGCACACACGTTTTCCGTTTTCGTTAATTAAGGAAGAACAGGCAATTTTTTAAACTGTAAATAAAACACAATTATTATATTATTTTTAAATGATTCTTATCACTTTTCTTTATTATTAAATACAAATTTTTTAACATTTTATTGGGACCAGTAGAAACTCACGACTCTCCCATTTAATTCTAAATACACAAATGTATTGAAAATACGAGAAGGAAAAATACATGGGCTTTCATTGTTGCCAACATTTGTGAAATTACACAAAATGTATTTTTATGCTTACACATACATTTTACATAATTTTTGTTGAATATATAAATTGTATTTAATATAAAATATTTATAATTAAATTGCAACTATATTTATTTTAATAATGTTGATACACTTTTAACTAAAGAGATAAATACTTTTTTTATACAAATAAATTTATATATAAACCTTTCGGCATTACACTTTCTATAAATAAAACACAAATTAATCCCCAGAGCAAATCATTTTACATTGCACCCTTTATAAACAAGTACATTTTAAGCATATTTAATTAAATTGTTTTATAATATTTAACAGGTTTTTAGTATTTAATTATAATATTTCGATTTTAAATATATTCATTCCCAGCATCCTTTTAGCAAAAAACTTTCTGTTTGCTATTTTGTTGAAAATATATACTAACATGCGTAAATGAAACAACACTATGCTGAATGAAGTAGTGTTGCTTTATTTTTCGATGTATTAAAAATAATAGTGGCAGAGTTTTGTTTTAATAAAATTTTATTATTTTTCGTATTAATGAAAAATTAATTTGTATATAATATAACTTCTTTTTGAATATGGTAAGTCGGAAGTAATAAAATAAAAAAATATTAAATATTGTAATATACTTTATGTATTAATTTAATAACTTTTAAAACCTTATTTCAATATAAAATTGAAAAAGACTATTTATAAAAACTTTAAATAAAAAAGCCCGTGAATTTAACAGTGCACGAATAAGTAAATAATAAATTAAAGTTTTCATTAAGTATTAATAAAGGTTACGTAAAATGTTTTGTAAAAGATATATGTGCTAAATTGTAATTTAATGTCAGTTAAGCGGATAATGACTATTTCAATTAATAAAAACTTTTGTAGTTTGTTAGTGAGGTTTTGAAAAGTAGTGAACCATAACAACCAAAATATTTTCTTATATTAATATATTTTATTAATTTATATTTTTGACTGACCATACAGCTATTTCGAGTATTGTCAAATACTCATCATCTGTGATCCTGGATTATTTCTTATATTTAATTATTTACAAATAATTTTTTAAGACTGCAAGTAGTTGAGCAATTTAATAACCATTCGTTGTTGATAAACTAAGTTCTTTAAACAAATAAAATAAAATTACTAATTCATAATGTCAATATACAAAATTAAAGAAACTATTATTGGCGCCATTATTTCTAAAAACAATATTTTGTTCGTTTTTTGATAAAATCTCTAAATAACAATATTTTTGTTCTAAATCATTTTAAATAAAAAGAAAAAACTTTTGCCTTCGCACGAAATATCATCATTTATCGACAAAACAAATAATGTGTACAAATTAATATAATCATTTTGTTGTTTTAAATTATTTGTGATAATATAAATTTATATATCAAATTAAATGTTTAACTGAATATCAATAATATTGTATGTGCAGTTGAAATAATTATTTTTCTTTGAAAACGAACTAACGACTAAATTAAATATTTCTATACAAAAAACTCAATATAAAAATATTATAACCGAAAGCAATAATAAAGTTCTCAAAATTTATAAAAAAATAAAATCTTATTTATTTTTGTCTTGGGACATTTATTAATTTTCAATACAACCCTGTTTATTAAAGACTTTTGCCACAGCACAAAACTCTTATCTTCCTAACTGTTTCGTGAAGCCGAGGGAAAACTTATTTCTTGACTAGCTGTTGAACAAGAAGGTTCGTGTTTGGGAATATTGAAATTATTATTTGTGACCAACTTTGTATTTAAATAAAACCTTTCTTTGATTGTGAAATAGCTTACATTTAACTAAATATGACTGGACGCGGAAAGGGAGGAAAAGGATTAGGTAAAGGAGGCGCTAAACGTCATCGTAAGGTGCTCCGTGATAACATCCAGGGCATTACAAAGCCCGCCATTCGCCGCTTGGCACGTCGTGGTGGAGTCAAACGTATTTCTGGCTTAATTTATGAGGAAACGCGTGGTGTATTAAAGGTAAAATTAACGGATTTGTGGTATTAAAGCATTTTATAGAATTCTTTTGTTTTAGGTGTTCTTGGAAAACGTTATTCGTGATGCCGTTACTTACACCGAGCATGCCAAGCGTAAGACTGTTACCGCCATGGATGTCGTTTACGCTTTGAAACGCCAAGGACGTACTCTATACGGTTTTGGCGGCTAAATGACTTAAATATTACTATAATGAATAAAATATGATAACTTATGACAAATATTAAATAAAGTCATTCCAAGAATTTATTTGTTTTTTTTTTCGTTAAGCAGTGGGTTCGAATTAGCGTTTTTGTTGGCAATTTCTTTAATATGAAGTGTGTGTGTTCTAATGTTTGTGTCGGCAAAACATAAGACGCAAAACGAAACTGTGCTTATAAGTGCATGATAATGGAAGAAATATGTTGCAATTCTGAATAAATATTTCGTACAGGAAAAAAAACTAGTTGGAATGACAACTTTTATTTGTATTAGAAATACATAAGTGCATTATAATAATTAGTTTTGCTACAAATTATATAGTATTTTTTGCTAATTGCACAGTCTAATTTATGGCAAATGGTGGTTACAATGGCGTTGTAGAAACTTTTTCTTTATTCTGTATTGACAAATTTCTTTAAAAAACTGTTTACTACTAATATAATCAGTTCTTTTTATATCCTGGCCATAATATATACATACGTACATAAATGCAATTTAACAACAGTACAAAGCCTTTCAAACTGTTTTATAAAAATATAAACAATTCATTGCCACTTGGAAAATGGAAGATGGCGCTAGATATGTTTGAATGGGTAGCACTGCGCAAATGTCAATTTTATTTACACACCAGTGCCAAATTTTTAAATCTATTAATTATTTTAATTTGGTGCTTATTTTTTTTGGAATAAAATGAATATGAAAATAAAGAAATGTTATTGTTTGTACTTTATACAAACAATTGGTAGTATTTTAAAATTAAGTATCGAACCACAACGTCAATTTAATGTTGATGTTCAAATGTACTGAAGTCATATATAAATTGAGTTTATTGAATTTAATATATGTATATGTACATATATATAATTTAATATACAAATTTTAATTTAAATTATGATTTTTTTCAATGTTTCGCCTTCAATTCTGATTTGTAAAAATTTAGATGTGTAGAAAACAACGAAAAACAATTTACGAAAGAGAAATCTTCAAAATAATGATAAGAATTAGAGATATTCTTTTCTTTGTGAATCACTTTCAAATATTTACTGTTCTTCATCATATGAGTTATTCATAGGTGCTAGCCAAATAACTCCATAACGCCAAATAACTGTATCTGCTGTTCCTTTAGTCACACAACTAGTGACACACTTGTTTCCAAAATATTTTTTAAAGAAAATTGTTTTTTCTGTTTACTTTCATATGCCCTACAATGAAGATCAAACTGTTACGAAGCAGAAAAGCGCCATATATTTATTAGCGTATATAAGAGGAATCATATATTGCACCTCATTTCTTCAAAATGCAATATTTCATGTTATATTTATATGTTTTATACATATTTCATGTTATATATTTTATATTTCAATTTTAAAAGCGGCTCTTGGGGTTTTACGTCTGCCTTAATTCGATATATGGATGGTGAAGTTATGGTCTCTTGTGTTTGCAAGAATTTATGTTCAGCAACTGATACTAGATTCCTGATTTGATGTCCTTTTTTTTTGACAATAAGATTATAATTAATTTTAATAATTTGACAATGACAATTGTTTGTTGGGAGTTAACAGTTACTGTCTTCATATAAGGTTTACTTTTGTTTGTGCTATGATTTATAGGTTATAATATACATACAAACGGCAGACGGCTAAAATGCCATAGCTGTAAGCTTTATTTATATAATATAATTGTTATTAATTTCTATGTAATACAACAAATTTAAAATGAATTAAAAATGAAGCTAATAATACTACTACTATACATAGATACATATATAAGTATAATCTACAAAAATAAAGTTATTGATTAAAATAATGTTACTTTTTTTTGATAGTGTTAATGATTGAAAAAAATTATGAAGTTCTCTGGAATTCAAAATAACACGCGAAAAAATCGCTAATGAAGTAGTAAAAAACTGAGCATAAAAGTCCAATACCTGAATTCGAATCGCTCAGTGAGGTGAGCAAATTAATTATATAGACTATGTAAAGAACAAACAAAATACTCAGAATGTTGCACCGGAGTAGTAAAGCAGATGAATAATCATTTGATAATGCACTTAAATAGTTAATATAAAATAGTACTCTTGAAGTTCCTCTATACACATAGCATCGACATTGCACCGTTTGTAGATATTTAAATTTTTCCCACCAAGACAACATTGTTTCAGTGTAACATTTTCTATGGAAGTTACGAACTTTTTCTCGTAATCTGCTACCCAAAGTTTTATCGAAATGACATGTTTGATTTTGTTCCGAAGACGATAGTAAATTCCTAAATTTTTTCGTTTATGAAACACCCGAAAATCAATTTTCTTTGTTTGGTTTAAAATAGTTGTGTAGATAATATAATAAATAAATAAATAATTAAAAAGAAGAAAAGATAGAATTGCTGAATATAAAAAACTGTTTGAAAATGATTGGAGATTAAATTATTTTTGGAAAAAAGACAATGAAAACCAACGAGTATTCTTTATTTCTTTACAAACGTATTAGTAAAAAATATATAATGTTATGAAAAACAAAATTTCATTAGAATTTCATTAACAAATATATTTCAGATTATGGTAATAAACCCTTAATTTTGATGTACGTTTTTTTATGCGATTTGCTCTTCATATCCATTGGGTTTTTTTTATTTCTTTAGTTTGCTATCAATCGCAAAGGCCAAGAAAAAGCGACCTGGGTGATTTCTTTACTGCTGGCGTATTAACTAGTAAACCATGTGGACCGACGGCATTATTTCTAACGAAAACCTGCATTGGTTGTTTATTATACGCGTCATTGCTATTTCTCAGCGTATCTGAATCGCTAGATGAGCCCGTGTCACTTGTGTGCGTACGGGCCGAAGATATGGACAGATCATCTAATTCGAATTTATGATTTATGTGATTCGGATTATGAATGTTAATGCTACGATTGTAATTAACATTGTTTTTGTTCTCATAAACGTGCTTTTTATCGAACATAGATGTGTTAGGCATAAGTGACGTTGGTGGGTTGTTCGCTGCAGAGTCTCCAATGTTTGTTTCAAAGTGTATTGTATGAAACTGCAACTATAAAATATTATAATTAGTAAAAACGATCTTGTTTTAAAAATGTATATAATAAAAGTAAAATTTTTTGAATTATTTATTAAATCATACATTAATTATAATTATTTTAATAATAACAACAAATGATTCATTAAAAAGCTTTCAATAATTAATTATTAATAAAAATTATTATAGATAATATAAATATATGTAAGTTATTGTTACATGAATTTTTAATGTTATTTGAATATAAATATAATTAAATTAATTATTGACAGCTTTTCAGCGAATCAACTGGTATAACAAAAAAATAATTTATTAAAATTATTTAAGCAATTCATCAATTATGATATTAACGAAATATATGTTAATTATTGTTTATTTCTGCTATAATAAATTGAAGTCATTCCTTCCGTATATTGATTGTGAAATAGATATACAAAAATGTAATTTAAAAAAAAATTTTTTTCAGTAATTCATATTATTTAGATTAGGTTAAATTATGTCAGTGATGTTGGAAATTGGCATATATATCGAATAAAGACAAAGAGGATTTTCAAGGTAAGCTATTACAACTGAGTCGGACACACTCAAAATTTATTCTCTATCATGCTTAATTTACACTATACATACGCTAGACAAAGATAAAATTTATTTAAACCATATTTATTATCTTAATTAAAAACATGTTAAAAACATGGTAAGCATGATTTACTTAGCGATAGTAACCTATCAGCAAAGCTGCTATAAGATTTATTTTAACTTTGAAACTGGAAACTGAAGCCAAAAATTTTGAAAGAACAATAAACAAATCTATTTAAAATTATCTTATCCTTAATTGTTCAATCTGGACCCGTTTGCTCGTGATATAGGAGCATTATCCATTAAATTAAGCTCCTACAGATATTACTTAAATATATCAAAAACAATATTTATTTAATTAGTCCATAATTTTTATATTTTCAATTAAAACTTCATAAAGCGTACAAAAACAATAAACATTAAATAAATAATTATAATAATTAGTATTCTTAACTGAATTTTCAGGACATTAAGGAAAAAAACGCTTAAACAATTCAAACATTTGTTCATAACTTACATCTTTATCGTTCCCAAATTCATGATCTGATTTGGATTCTTTTTTCTTGGAGTAAGAGTCTTTCATCGGGACATCAACATATTTCACCTCACTCTTTATTTTACGAACATTCAGCTTACGTCCCTCTCTGTGCAATATGGCAGAAATCAGATGTGGTGTGTCTGGTGGCTTATCATAATTAAATTTCTCAGTCTCTGAAGTATCCTCATAGAATAGTTGAGTTTTACATGAAGCTGGAGTATCAATATGTATAACTGATTTCTCATGTTTTTTCTCATTATTATTAGGACCTTTCAAATTATTGCGTCTAAAAGAGAATATCAAAAAAAGATAATTAAAATATTACCACAAATATTGGAAGTATAATTCAGCCATACTCGTTTATAATAGACTGCAAAGAATCATTTTTAACCAAGACATAACCAGCCTTTTTGTTGTCCTCCACCAACGAAGCCAATTCCTGTTCATAAGCATGGATACGTTGGGTTAATTTTTCATTGAGCATTTCGGCTTTTTTACGCAACAACTGTTCATGTTTTAATTGCTCATCCAATGATTTCAGCATTTGTTGCATTTGCTGTGGTGTTAATTTGTTCTTCTTATTCTGCACCGCATTTTTCGATTGCTCTGTAAGCTTTTGGTCCTCATCGTATTTACCCAACTGCTCCTGAATACTACGATGCAAGAATTTGCTTATATTGGGATTTCCTCGCACATTGAAATCCAATAAATAGTTATTTAGTTCTAAGCAGTCCAATATACTATTCGCACCACGGTCAGTAATTCCGCAATCTTCCATTTCAATATCTAATAAAAATATATTTACAACTAAGTAGTATAGAAAATAAAAAAAGAATTGATATAATTACATTTGATCCAAACATCCTCTTTCAACACTTCGATAATGAATTGTAGGCCATCGTCCCCAATTTCTGGATTGTGTGAAATATTAACGAAACGTAAACCAGATATTGTTTCGGGATCAACAGGCCGATAACGCAGGGACTGTTGCCAACCTTCCGTGTAACGACTTATTTTTTGCACCTATAAATTAATAACATTTTATTATTTCTTTGCTTTTTTCGTCTGACATGGCAATCCAATTTTTTTTTTTATTAAATATATATGTATTTATATATATATATAAATATTTAATTACAATTTGATTAAGATCTGGAATTGCTAATCAAATATCGCTCACAACTCACAAAGGAAGTTTACTGTTAGTAAATTAGTCATGATTTCCTAGAAAGGAAAGAACCACTAAGGTTTTTTTTTGTACTGCACCCAATGTTTTATAAAATAAGGAGGCTTTAAGCACAGTATATATTTTTTATACTTAATTATTTAATTATTAATTAAATATGTTAATTTTTGAAATAGCAAATCGGGATAAATTCCTACTTAATTATTAATTAATTATTGATTAATAGGTTTCAAGCACGGTATATATTTTTTATATATAGTTAATTATTAAATAATTATGTCATTTTTTTAATTAACTTAATAAATAGTTACAAAAAGGGTTAATTTACTAATTAATTTTTAATTAATTAATTACCTTTGTTTTTTAGATTAATTGTTATGTAACAATTAATTAATTAGTTAATGTAGATTTTATGTAAAATATTATGTACTCTAAATTGAAGTTACATTACCTTTATCATTTCTGATACACACTCTGCTCCTTTCACACCGATTCCACAATGTGATAGGTTTAGTTTTTCAACGTTATCCATATATTTCAGAGCGTTACATATTGCCTCGCATCCTTTATCACCTAGATTTGACCGTTGAAAACTTATTTCCTTCAAATTGTCATTTGCAGATAATGCCTTTAAAGAATATGGATTAGAATATAATTTAAAATATGGATTCCAATAATTTTTCTTTCAAAGTAATGTTCTAACAATATGTATACTTTTTTAAATTATGTTTATAGTAATTAAATATTATTCCTATATATATAAAAAAATTTATTATAATTACAAATGTTTTTTGTTTTAAAAATGCAATAAAAAATAAACTATTACGAATGTAGAAATTATTTATAAATTTATAAGTTAAAGATTTTTATTACCTTTGCTATTGTTTCCACATACATATCATTTATTGGCAGTCCCTCAAGGCATAATATCCTCAGGTTTTTGTTAAGCTCTATAACTTTTGAAACCGCTTCGATAACACCTGTAAAGACATACTTAGTGCACACACATGGCTTCTGTCTAAAGAATTTAGCCTTCTTTTCAGTGTCAAGGTGTTCCAATACTACAAAAAATTAATTAATAAAAAAATTTAAAATTTTTTTTTATAAAATAATATTTTAAATATGTTACCTATTGGTTGACAACGCCGTAGTCTTATTGCAAGTGTTTGTAATACTTGATCGTAATACAATGATTCAACGATGAGGCCCCAATCAGTAACGCCAATTTTATCTGCACTAAAATCCAGAAGTGACGTTGCGTTATTTTTCGAACGAATATCACTTAAAGGTGTTACATTTTTGGAACGACAAAGCTCCAAGTATCTGAAATGAAAAGAACGGCACCGCGTACTTTTCTTAATAGAGGTAAGACTACCACAGTCACGCATCTCCATTTTCTTATTTTTTGAATTCAATTTTTCCAGTTGCCTAACACTGGCAAGACTTTTTGAATCAAATGCTTTCACACTTGTTTTTATTCTATTTAAAAATCAATAAATATTATAAGTGTTTAAGATATTCAATTAAATTAGTAAAAAAAATTAGTAAAAAATTATAAAAATGCGTGGCAAGTAAAAAAAGTCATGAAAATAATTAAAAATTTTTTTTTTAAAGATATTATTTGAATTTAAAAAACAAGCTAACTAATTTTCACAGATTTTCTTAAACAAATTAATAAAAAAAATTGTAAAAATCACAACTTACCTTTATATAATTTTAATTTTTTTAAAGGCACTTTTAATTAACTATTTTTAACGCAACTTCAATTATTATAAACAAAACTCAATTCAAAATAAAGGAATACCAACTTTTTTTTTAAATTTTCGAATAAAATCGTTCTCGTAGTTAGCAGTTTCTTCTCCGGAAAGTTTGGAAACGTATTGAAGAAATTTATTTTAATAATGAAATATAAATTTGTTACTTGGAGTAGTAAAAAAAATTTCAAAAATTTCAAAAATTTCAAAGGTAAATAGTTTCGGATTAACCTATATAGTAAAGAAATGTCAAACAACACTTAGTATTCTACAATTCTACAATTCCAAAAGGTATACTACGTTATTTTGTAGACTTTAAAAATTTTAAACATTTTTTGACTACAGATTCACACTTTTTGGTTCCAATATATTTAAAATACAAAATTACCGAAAAAAATAAATCTTTGAGAATATTTGGGCTAAAGATAGTAAACTACCAGCAAGTATTGATTTGAATTTTTTTTTAAATTTATTATTTTATGACCAAACGATTTTAATAAAGAGTTTTTGCAGGGTAATTCTTGTATTTATTTTTGTGCTCAAACCTACAGCCTCCCAAATACCGGCTGGAGATTTGTAACTGTCATGCCTTCGTAACCAAATATTGGTTACAAAGCCATGCCCACAGTATATCGCTAAATAGCAATACACCGTTCATAGTGATGACTAATCACCGGGTATGCACAATGGAATATCATCGATATTTCGACTTTAATCAAAAGTCAACATCAGAAAACTAAATTTTTATTTTTTTTGTAAAAATATTTTTGTTTATCTATCTGGTCATCTACTCATCAACCCTTTAGAAAAAAAAGCAATAAAATTTCGATAAATACCGGCAATATGAACTTCAATTGCTGCGTCAACCCAATTTGTAAACAAAAAATATAAACAATAATTTCGGCGACGCAGTCATTAAGTTTCATGGTTCGGCGATTGCTCGCGTGCTCTTCGTTTCCATAGTGCACCATGGTACTTCGTAGTATGCAAGCATTCTCTATTGTTGTTGCTGTGGCAATGTTTCGATTCCATAACATTTTAATCAACATTGGGTAAGTGCTTTACCATTCTTTTCATACGTTTAAGCCAGGCTTAAAGCCAAATTTAAACTTAAAACGAATGCAATTTTTAGTCTTTGTGAGGTGTTCGAAGTTGTCGTTTGTTTTTGAAATTAAGACGGATTAAAATTATAAAAAAATATTTTTAAATAAACATATAAGCAAGTTAAGAAATACTCAGTTAAAAAAAAAACAAATTTTATAAATGATACTGTGCAATTAATTTAAAAATATTAAAACTAATTTAATATAATACAAAAAAAAAATAATAAATAAAAATAAATAAAATATATAACATTTTTAATATCTTGAATGACGTAGCAATAGCTGAAGTGAAGAGAAGTCACGCTTCAAAAAATCGTATATTGTTAAGAAAGTAGTTCTGGGCTAATTCTGCTATATCCTAAGAAGTGTGCCAGTTGTCCGCTAATTAGTGAATTGAAACTAAGAAAAATACAAATAAGAATATTTTATAACAATATCCGGTTAAAAAAAAAAGTTGCTACAAATAAACCACATGAGGATGAAGAACTATTAAATTACTCGACATTGGGGTAAGTTTGCAAAAAGAGGGTTGTTCAAGAATATTTGCTAAAATATTTTCACTTAAAGAACTTTACATTAAAATATGCAAATTCCTGAAGGCGTTTAAATTCTATAAATAAGTTGGTGTTTAAAATATTTCCAAATGTTACTTTTATGTTGTCATAGTACTTGAACAATTTTGTTACTTTCGTATTTTGTAGAAGTTTCATTGTAATTACTATTTTTCTTAATTTAAAAGAATTATACCATAGGAAATCTACATAGCGGCCTATATGACACTCCAAAGAGGGGATATTTTAGTCCGTATAAATACATATTAATATGTTAGGAAGTCGAGCAGACCATTTCTACAAAGGTCAGTCTGACGTTTCATAACGTCATAAAAAAATCATCATAAAACTCACCACAAAAAGAAATTATGCCACTATTTTGGAATTTATATCACTTTCTGAATTAATCTGTTCTCAATTACAAAGTTTATAAGCTTTATCGAGTCAAGGATGCTGAACTTTACTACTTTTTTCATTTTTAGTAAGAATCTCCTTAGGAAATATGTTTCTTGGAGGAGTGCCTGACATTTGTGCGTTATGTCTCTCTATTATTAGGGTCTAGGATGTTTTTAAAGTCCAATTTAACCCAACTGAGATATTTTAGGTCACATTTTATTTTTAATTTCCCTAAAAACAACTTTGTCCCTTTTGTAAATTCCTTTAACTAGAAAACACTTAATAATGTTACCGTTTATCTAGAAAAAAGTCGACAGTGCAGCAATGAAATTACAATCAATTCTTCCGTGCTTTATTTTTCGCAGGTATTGCAGAAGTCTCTACTGGGATCTAGCATATCTTCAAAATAATTTAATCCAACGAAGGTATTTTAAGTTAAGTAAAATTTCTTTAAAATTCCATCAAGTCAACTTTATTTCCTTCGGTAAATCCCTTAAAATAGAAATCTCTTAATTATATTAGTCTTTCTCTGAAAGAAAACTGCACAATAACAATAAATTCTTTTCGTTTCTTCCATAACCTCCTTCTGGTAGCTACTGCAGAATAGTTTTTTGTGGTCTTGGATATCTTTGTAATTAAGTAAGATTAATTTTTGTTTGAATTAGATATACATCATTAATCTGTTAGATATAAAAGATAAAGTAATTTATCTAAAATTTGGCACATTGAAAATCAAAAATTGAGCAGTGTGAATCTTAATAGTCCTTAAAACCGATTGAATAGGAGTTATTTGTATAATATATAATCAATTAGTATAAATACTATATTCAAAGAGAATGTAGTAAGAGCGAAAACGATTATAAAGAATATAAAAAAAAAATAAATTAGAATGAGAAATGATTATAATCAAGACGAGGGAAATCAAGCTTTGTTCTTATCAAAATTAACAAAATCAGGAAATTGAAATTAAACTTAATTTAATTAAATTTTTTTTTGTTTTTTTGAATAATCGTATAGTTTGTTGAGTTTTTCAGTACGAAAAACAGATATGTATACGTCAGAGATGTATAGTATTACGCAATTGGTATGTAAAAAGTCTCGTCGTTTCAGATATAAGTCGATTGCTCCTGTAGCTGAACTTTAACTATTCTACCATAAATAGTTGTCTCAATAAATTTGAAACTTGGAGTAGTTGATAAGAAATTAAGAAGGAAATTGTTAATTAATTATAAATATTTATAATTAATATTTAAAAATAGAATTTTAAAGAATACCATAGAAATCAATTCACTTCATTTTAAATTATGACGCGTTATGCAATTATTTATTGATTATTTAAGAATTACATTTAGTACACAAAGTATATAGAATTATAAAAAAAAACCAAAAAAAGCCATCAATCAGTCAGAATTTAACTAATCGTATTTAAGGTCTTTAACTATTGCATTTATATAAAATAAAATATAAATAAAATATATATAAATAATAAGATATTTGATGCAATCCTCCAATATTTTTCTTAGCTTTATATATGACCTTTAACGTCTTCTGCAAATTATCTTTTATAATCGCAAGCGATTCGAAACATATTCCTCGAAATATGCTAGTTTTAGCTTCCAAAGCAGAAAAAAAACTATTGCGTCCCTCGTGAAGTAAGTACGGTGTCAAATGTTAATGGAAAATTCCTGATTATTTATTGGCATTATAGAATTGTAGAAACATGTTTGTCAGTTATTTATTTATTTATTGTTTAGAAAATTATTTATTAGTATTAATTTTACAAAGAAATATATATATATATACTTATATACATATATTCCTATTGGAAGGTGCTAAGTGATAAAAGTTCTGGATATAGGCTTTCAATAATAAGCTTAGATCGAAGTTTTCTGTCCGTCATTTATTTCAGTTAACCAATATCGCTATATATTCTTTCCCGGCTTTGGAGATATTATTATTATTATTATTATTATTATATCATTAATTATTATTATATATTATTATTATATCATAGGATATATTTTTTGTTTGCTCATATTATTTATTATTTTTAATCTTTATATAAATTATCTCAGTTATTAATATTAGAATTTATTAGAAATATCCATTTTTTACTGTACATATTTTGATATACAAAAATCCTCTCTCCGATACCCTCCAACGGAGATCAATAAAACTTTGTGAATGTGTACGGCTGGTTCCCACTTGAAAGATAAGATAGTTTTGGATCCGATAGGTGACGATTTTAGCGCGATGTACAACAAATTTTTAAGTTTTTCAATGAAAAACTTTTTAAAATATTTTTAAATTCCTTAGACAAAAAAAAATACAAAATAAATTCAAATTTTTACTTTACAATCTCTTGTTAATATTTTTAAATGTTTTTGTTTTATTCTTAAATTCTCAAAAGGTAATATAAAGTTGCTAACGGGTTTCATTACGGGTAATTATGGGCTGAAATATCATCTATATAAACTTTGATTGTCTACTAATTCGAAATGAATTTTTTGTGACTGTCCAGCTTAAATAACGCACAGAAACAACTTATTTCATGTGGTATCTCTGTCAACAGAACTGATTAAGACTTCTCTTCAGATTTAGTTCTGGACTTTGTTCACAAAGCTTTAAAGGGCTTTGTGTAATCAATAGTGAAATTGATACAATAGGGATCTTTTTACCGCAGTACTGTTAGGCGATTTCACAACAATAGTTTTAATATATATAATAATATTAACAAACACTTTTTATCGATGATTTTGTATTCAAAATATTATTTGTACTCTGAGACACACTGCGAAACGGAACCTGCGAAAAAATTAATCGAAAATTACCGCAAAAATTTTAAATAATTATTTGTTGACACAAAATTAGTAACTATTATATAATAGTTATATAGACTAAATTATATACGTATGTATTTTTTCTCGAAACGCATTATCTGGTTGGAGCTAACACCAACGAAACTTTAATTAAGCGCAGTCTTATTAGAGACTTTATGCATAGTTATGCTCGCAATGGCACGCATCGCTGCTGGTGCGTTTACAGAGTGCAAGCTGAACTGAATGTATCACCAGCTAAACTCTGGATGTGCTCGTGCTCGTAGTACCATATGTATTGCCTTCAATTTCCGGTGTGGATTTATGCATAGTAAATAATTTAAACATTTCCTCCCCCAATTGGATATTCGTCAACAAAACTGACAACCTAAACAAAGAAGAACAGGTCTGGCCGAGCTACTGAGAGTCAAGTTCAAATTGGTTCAGTATGGATGATGACGATGATTATGATGATGATGATGGTGACGATAATGATGATGGAGAAGTTACACTTGTCATGTAACAAAAAATCAGTTGAAAAAATAGACTATTAAAATACAATAACAACAAGAGTATTAAAGTTCGTTGCGGTAGGTTGATTTTTGATTCATAATACCTTCATACTCTACTCGTGCTCAGATACATACTTGGCTACTCTACTCATACACTATATTGAGCTATATTCACTATATTCACACTTCACATAAAATGATTCTTCTGTGTAAAAATGTATGTGTCTTCGGTACAATTTGTCCGTCACACTCCGTATACTTAATTATTTTTTTTTTAATTTTTTTTACAATAGCTTTACTTTTTTCGCAAACATATTTGCATGTTTTATTGATTTAATTAATTCGTATCTTGTATTTTTTCTAAAATTAATTGACCAATATTTAAAACAGTATAATTAAAAAGTAGTGCACAGTGTAAAGAAATTACCAAAGGAAAAAAAGTGAAATGCACATAAATCAAGAGAAAAAAATAAAAAAAAAGGTTTGTGAGATGAAGAAAATTACTAAAGTCGTAGTACATATTGTACATATATTAATATTATAATTAATAGAACTGCTGACATTATTTATAATATCTAATAGAGTAGAATTGTGTATGTAAATCGACTAATCCTTCTTTTCTTTGATGTTAATCTTGTGTGGTCCATTAATGTATTTGTTTTATCTCTCTTATTTAAAGTAAATAATTAAGTACAGCTTTCTTAGAAAATAATATGTACGTATAATTAATATAAATGGGAGGAGGAGTAGGATAATGTGTTTGTTCATAAGATTATCATTAGTCTTAATCTTGTGTTTAGACCTTCTGTTGCTAATCGAACTCAAAAACTCAAACATTCAAAAACCGAAGCACTGTAATGCAGCTCTGTCACCATCAAGGCCCCATAAACAACCATTTTCCCATCTACAACCCCATGCCTTCAGTATAATGTGTTTGTTCATAAGATTATCAATAATCTTAATCTTGTGCTTAGACCGTTAGTGGCTAATTGAACTCAAACATTCAAAAATCGAAGCACTGTAATTGCAGGTTTGTCACCATCAGGGTCTCATAATCAACCATTTTCCCACCTACAAGCCCATGCCTTCAGTATATTGCCGCTACATCATTCATTTCTGGGTGTGTCACAGGTATCCCCTATTCTCAGTTCATGCAAACAATAATTTTCAAATTTTAAATTTAATTTTATGAATATTAATAATTAATATTATTTTCTTTATATTTTTTACTATTCATTTAAAATATATACCATAAATACTAATAAAAAAATATTATTTATTCTGAGTGTCTCAACATCACAATTACCATCTTCCCCCGAGCTCATGTATATAGTAAATTTGAAATTTTTGATTTTCAAATCAATTTAATTAATATTAATTAATTCCTTAAATTATTTTCATAAAGAGGTTTTTTCGAACAGTAGTGAACAACAACAACAAAAATTTTTATTTTTTATATTATTTTAATAAATTGAATTTTTGGCTGACCATACAACTGTTTCGAGTATTGCCGAATACCCATCATCAGTGGTCTTGGAAATAATTATTTAATTATGCATAAATAATTATTTTTGAGACTGCAAGTACCAGGAATCGAACTCTGGTCCTGCCAAATGTGAAGCTCAGAATCAGCGTACCTTAACCAACTGATCCAAAGTCGTAATTTTTATGTTCACATATATTTCTGGAGATTACTTTATTTAATCAAATTATTTTCTTTAAATTTTTTGCTCTTAATTTCTGAATTATATATGATAAATACTAATAATAATGTATGTATCCCTTTCTCCTCACGCTCATGAGAACAATAAATAAAAAATTTTTAATTTTCAATTTAATTAAATTAATTTAATTAAATTAAATTCAATTAAATTTAATTTAATCAATTTAATATAATTAATTTGTTGAAATAATTTTCTTATAATTTTTTACTATTAATTTCTGATTTATATACGAAAATTATTAATTACCACATGACATTTATTACTAGTTAGAAAATACTAAAATTTAATTTAATCATTTGTTAAAAATAAAATTTTAAATAAACAAATAAAAGTATAATTTTCGTTAATAATACTCGTAGTTAGAAAAAAAATTGTTTAAAAATAATTGTGTTAAAAGCAATTGACCTATGGTTTTAAGAAATTCTTTCTAAATCACTAACTTCAACAACGTCTTATGTGACCCATATTACAACAAACTAACAAACATTAAATATTTTAATGTATAAATATTTTTTTTATTTTTTTATTTGTATTTTATTTCAAGACGTGAACTTTACTTGAAGTTAAAAAGTTTAAATTTGACAAACCGTGACGTTTTTATGTCTTTTTGCCAAAAATGTTTGTCATTAACACGTTATACCGTTAAAAAATTTTTCAGATTTTTATACACATATATGTGTATAAATAGTTTATAGTTTTTATAATTTACAAATTATACTCCCCCATATAAAAAGAAATTTGATCCAATTAAAGTTAAACAACTTGACAAGTAAACGCAGGAATGAATATTCCGGAGCGAGTAAGAGATAATTAAGAATTAACATCAACAAAGCTTGTGTAGAACTATAACATTTTCTAGATCTCACGACTTCAAATATTCTTAAATATTTTAAAAAAATTATATAAAAAGAAAACAAGTCCGGTTTAGACATTGAAATCTTAGAACTGACTTTGAAGTCACTTGTTATATATAGTCTGTCCCATAACAGATGAGAAGAGTCTCAAAAAAATACCAAATGTTCAATATTTTGATTAACATATTATTGTATATTCGAAATAGTCTCCTAGCATGTCAACACGGATTTTTCGAAATATTTTTAATTCTTATTGGCCGCAATTGCCTTTAGCAATTGTCAAAGTTTTTTGGTTGATCAGGGTGCTTTTATAGTACCACTGTTACTTTTCGCTATAATGTACTATCTTTTCTTTTCTTTCTTTGCAAGTTAATGTCTAAGCACTTTTACTCAAGAGTGTCGGTCACCATTTAGATGATCCACTGTAATAAAAGCTTCATCCTCTTATTTCCATCTTTTCTGAAATCAGCTTAGATACTATGAATCCACCACATTTTTTGTCATGTTCTGTAGAAGTTTGTAGACCATTCGGACTATCGTTTTCGGTGTATGGCTTTCTTTGATTTTTTCTTCAAGTTCTTCTTAATATATTCCACAATATATTGGCACTACAGTGCTGAACATCATCATCGGCCTTCACCTTACATAAAGTACCCTCAATCGATCGTAATCAAGGTGATTTAGCAAATCTCACGATAGTCTGCATAATTCGTCATGTTGATATTTATCTATACTAGTATCGAATATTTTTGGCAAAATTTTTCTCTAGGAAACTCTAAGACCTTGTTCGTCTGTACTGGCAAAATTTATCTCCAGAAAACTCTAAGACCTTGTTGGTTTGTACTATTTTACTTCAGTGAATACTTTCAAATACTTGTTTTATAACAATTAACAATATATAAGGGTCTATATTTTAAATATTCATAAATATTTGTGTTTCAGAACACTAAATTTTAGGCAGTTATGGATCGATTAGAGAGATATGAATTACATTCTGATATGAATTATTTACATAAATTTATAATATTAATAGATATCGGAATTATCAAAGATATCTGCAACAATACTACTTTGTAAAAAATTACATTACTGATGATTATTATAGAAACACTTATTAAAATGTATAAAAATTGGCACATCATGTGTACAAAATATAATATATATAAAAAAATAATAAATTAATTAATTAATATATGACTTACTTGTTCATTTGTAATTCAGTTTTAAAATGATTTATATCCAAGTTATAATATAAGATCTTCAGCTATAATTTGCAATGCTGAAAATAAAAACATATTAAAAATTTTGTGAAATATATTTCCTACTTAATTTACTTTTTGCTTAAAATCGTTTCGTTGTTAAGATAGTTTAAAAAAAATTATATATAATTTGACATATAGTTCAAACGTAAGTCATGACATTTTTAGTTTTTTGAATACATTTTAGAGAAGTCACAAAAACTATGGGTTGAGTTATGTTGGAGAGGTAGCCTTATTCACCAAAGCTCGCCTTCTTTAGCTCAAATATTGGCCCATTATGATACTATAGATGAAAACACTATACAAATTAATAATAATTAATTAACACAAATTAATAAAATAGAATAAAAAGAACATCTACGAAAAATGCCAACTATTCTATAAGGATAGAAGAACAGTATCAGTGGCATACAGTCTAAATAGATCCTATATCTCTTAAGTACATATTTTAGAACAATTTTTTTTCATTTTATACATTAACTAAATAGAAAAGCTGAAGTATTGGATTTATATTTTCCTTCTTCATAGTCTAATATAACTTTCACCTTTGCACATGAAAAGAACTAGTCGATAAAGGTAAATTTGATGATAAATAATATTTGAAGAATGAACAACGTCCAGAAATATTCATAAAATACTATGTTCGTAGAAGAATTAGAAGAATTGGAGTCGAGTTGGTATGTAATTCCGATAGTTGTAAAATTTTTATTTATTCTCTATACTTAATGATAAGCTAAAATACATGCATTATAACAATAGAATAAAAATCATCTACAATGCTCTAAATGTATAAAATAAAGATATATATATATTAAACAATGCTAACACCTATAATAAATCTATTCACCGCAATAGTTACCGCTATTCTTTTTGCAATGTGGGTAGTGGCCTTATTAAGAAACTTATTAAATATTATTTTTGTATAACATATCTAAAAACGCCATTTATATAAAAGTAACCAATGGAACGAATTATTCTGAAACCTGACCATAGAACCCACTATCCACCAACAAATTATAATATATAACATTTGTATAAAAAATGCTTTAACATATCAGAAATGTATTCATATATAGACTATTATTTTATATGTATAAAAAATTATATTAGAAATTATATTACACAAAAATGGAAATACCTTACTTTGAGTATTAATTAATACAGAAGTATTAAGTTTTTAGTTATCACAATGGAAGCTGTTTTCAGAATGATTTGAAATATGGATTTTAATTTTAAAGTTTGTCAACATTAGTAGAAATTTTTATTTATACGAGTATGACAAGTTTGCAATCTTTATACTAACTTATCATTATGCTATGTGTCAATATACCTTAGTACTCATATTCGAGATATCAGGTTTTAGATGTAAAAATATAGCATGAAAACCACCAACGATAAGTAAATGCGTCAGGCCATTTCAACATAGTGGGAAAGTTACAGTTGACTTCATTAAAATCCGTTGTCAAATCGGAGAATTGGAGTTGCTTCATTTTATTATTATTATATTATGCATTCTACCAGATAAAATATAGTTGGCTCGGTCATACCATAAGAAAGGATACACGCAGCATAGCTCCTTTAGCCTTAGAATGGGAACCCGATTGGAATAAGAATAAGAGGACGTTCAAAAACAAAATGGAGGGGAACAGTATTCAACGAAACATCCAAATCGTTCAACGAGCTTAAATACATGGCACGAGGTAGGGAAAACTGAAAACTTAGTTTTCAGATATAAAATCAATTTATAATATAATTAATAGTTGAGTTAATTTTGGAATATTCATTACACATTGTGGATTAGAATGAAAAACCTAACTTTCTAATTGTTATTAACTAATTATTGTCATTACGAATATTTAGTCTGTTATTAGTGTTATAATTTTTCTATCTATTAACAAATGTGTAAATAAATGTATATATCAACATTGTAAAAATTTTTCAAGAAATATAAAATACTAGCGAACCCAACAGACTTCGTTCTGTCAAAAAGATTTGGAATATGGCAGTTTTTTGTTCCTACCTATTTTATAGTCGGGGCAAAAAAATCTGAACAGAACAGTCACCCTGGTGTTTGGGGTTCAGCTCGGATGACTAAAGTATCTTTTCTTCCAAGAACTTTGGCCACCCTTCTGGGATTCACTAAAAAAGCCCGACTGGGATGTCTGCCAGAGGGTTTCAAACTAAGCAGCGAACTTAGGGTTCAAACCTGATTGGAAAATAATCTAAAGGGACAGTGAAAACCTAAAGGTGACATATATAAAAAGTGGGTGGCTCGCTTGGATAGTGGAGACAATAATCTGCAAAGGAAGTCATGGGGATTGAATAAACATACCTACAATAATCAACAACTTATTACAACACACAAACTCATCTATTCTGGTTATGTTCTTGTCTTCTTATATGTAAAAATGAATCGAAAAATGTGTTGGTAAGCGCATAACTCAACAACGCCTGGACCAATCTGGAATTAGCAATAATTCAATTTTTTTTCTCGCTGTAAAAACCATCCTTGGACTTCAACGAACATTTTAGAAAAAGAATTGACCAAATTGGTCCAGGCGTTGTTAAGTTATGCGCTCACCAACACTTATTTGGATTCATTTTTATATAAAAGATATAACCAATAAGAAAAGGAACTTATAAGTCCTTCTCAAAATTTATTCTAAGGTTATAAGGTGAGATACAATAAAAAAATATTCAATCATATAAACTATACAATCACTGATGTTACAATCACTAAACCTTTATATTAGTATTTATCAGTATTGTTGCTCAAATCTCTAACAATATCTTGTTAAAGACTATTCAAAGTTACATTAATTGTAGGTCTAAAATTTTACAAAATTTTGTATCTAATTACATGGATTGTGAGTAGATTGGCAAATCTGTGGAACTAAAAAGGGAAAAATATTATAAAAGATTAATTGCTCAAGGTTGTTTGATAAAATGTAATCGTGTTTAAACAAGACTTAGGTTTAATTAATCTCAGATATTTCCACATTGTTATTTTATTTCCATTTAAATGTATAAATACTTGGAAAATTGCTTTTAATAAACTTTTGCACAATATACCTATGTAAGTATCTTAAGTATCTTAAATGAGCAATGTAAATGTGCATTAATGAATTTTAAATTTATTTGAATACCGTAAGAAATCACAAAGAAAAAGCATTTAAATTTCAATATTTCATCGACAACTCAAATTAAACCAAATTAAAAATTAATTATCAAAAGTTTTGCATTGCATTGTACGAATATTATAGTCAGTAAATTAAAAGTCTACTTCGAAATAATTCATTTCTTTGTATTGTATCTAACTAACATTGCCATTATTTGCACAATGAACTACACTAAATGTACACTACATACTTCATGAAGTATCTTTTTAATGAATGTACACCACACACTTCATAAAGTATCTTTTTATATGTTTGCAGTTGGATGTCATAACTTATCAGAGAGCAACTCTAAGCATTGAAAAGTGTAACGAATGATTTCTCATATATGTTATTAGCTTCTTCACTTCTTCACTTACATATTATTTATGATTTGCAATTCTTAATTATTCTGGGAAAAATGTCTGAAATTATTGAATAAAATATATTTCATATTTATGTTGTGTTATATATTTTTTAGTTTTTTATTATAATTCATTGATGCTTATATGCTATTTGAATTTAAATGTGTTAAATTTTTCTGTATAAATGTATGCATATACAAATCATACGTATTATGACACTATTTCCTGCACTTCTTATAATAAATCCTCAAACTTCATTTACTAAAATAATACAACGTAATGAAAATTTCACACTGTATATAAATTTGTGTAATAAATTAAATTCATATCAATTACTTAGTAAACCCTTGCACATCAGTCACGCATGCCCACACTAATCAAAAGTTTAGAAAACTACATAAAAATAAACAGTATTCAAAGTGCCAGCTAAAAACTACAAAATTAAAAAAAAAAAAGAATAGTAGTTTAAATAACCACTAACTAATTGCATTAAAAACACAATAAATTAAAGAAAACTAAACAATAAATAAACAATAAACATAAACAATATTCTTAATGTTAAGAAAATATATATTTAAATAATCTCTTTTTAGTTCACTGAAAAGTTCAGTACCCTTGACAAATTTTCGTACTGTACTGTACTTAAGTGGTGCTCTGTGTACAACACCATCTATGGCATTAGATCTAATGCTTCACTTGACATCTTCTTCACTGACATCATTAGTAAACATTTGGCAGCATTATCTGCCATATGACTCAACACTACCTCACAATGGAGGGCTAGTGACCATGGGCACCGTCCCATTCTAAAACTTTTCAGTCCTACTCTAAATAACATCGACTACATTCCTCCCATTCTCGATTTTTTTAGGAAATTCATTGTTAAATTCCCAACCAGTGAGGTTTGGCTATCAGAGAGCCCCTCCCTGGGTGAGGGTCTAGAAATTATTACCGATGGTTTGAAAATTTTTACCACGTTGAACTGTATTCAAATTTCGATAGTTAATTTCTATGTGTACATACTCATATCCATATTTATATCCTTAATATGTATTAGTCCTCTTTCTGTTGTATGTCAGATGAGTCTATATGTCATGCATATTGAAGTTGTGAATCTACATATATTCAAGTTTCGCTAATTGCTTCATGTTTCCTATAGCTTTCATACTAGCACTTTTTAGACATGGGTTCACTGCTAATAGTCAATTTTATTCATTTTGATTGTCTTGATTATTTTCTCTATCAATCATAACTATAATATAATATAAGCTGTCTTATCTGATAATCTGCTTTGGACTGATCAGACTTTATAACCATATAGAAATAGTACAGCTTGTAGTTCATTCGAAGAACCAAAAATCTTACGAAGACCTTTTCTCTCGAGAACTAGTGCTGTTTCACTATTCTGTAGTAATGTTTCTGTTTCTGCACAGGTAGAATGAGGGACCTATATAGTGCAAGTTTTGTTTGTCAAGAGGGAATTCTACATCTTAATAACCTACTGAGCTCATAATATATTGGTTATGGTAATTCTTCGTCTGATCTTCACGCTGACATCGTTGTTGCTCGTATTGGCGGTGCAACCGCCATTATAGAAAATTCTATCATATTTCATATATCATAGAAAGTACCTATATTAGACATCTGAACATAGGATAAACGCTTCAGCAATTATCTGTGCTGAAAACTCTGATTATTTGCATTCAGCTCTACAGCGAGGCTTATAGTTACTATTTAGTTATCGTTTTTTCAGATTTATGAATATTTTACCTGCAGAACATGATACATAGATCAGTCAATAATCTACAATAATTTCAAATTCTTAGCTTCATTTAAAGTATTTATAACTCATTAACCACTTCAAATGCTTTATTCTGAGTTCATGATGGCACAATGAGCATAAATAATACGGTCGGTCATGGAATTAAGTCGTGCACTCTTACAAATTAAAGTAAACAAAATTTACTTAAAAGTATTGTTAAAATTGTCTTTTGTACTATTTGTAATCCAGAGAGGTACTCATAAGAATATGTGTCATGTTGCGTTAACACTACATGCTTGACACAGGTTCCGGCAATTAAACACATTTCTTTCGAACGCGAGTTTGTAAGAAGTAAATGCCGCACGAAATTAAGCACAAAAGTTGTAATAAGAAAGAAATGTTGCAATGTTTTTGGAAATGACCACGAAAACGTGATATATGTCACAAAATTATACACTTTTTGAATTAAACTGAATAATGAATTAAACTGGTATTATAGATACACTCATGTGAAATTGTAACATAACCGCGTTGGCTCTATTGCCTTGATTTTGTGGTCTCTCACGCATAGATTAATTTAATTAAGTTATTGAACAATGAAAATTTTAATGAAATTCCAAAATAAATTTAATTTTATTAATTGTGTTAATTTAAGTATCTTAAAGAATCATTTAAAGCATGTTTCTGGTATCCATAAATAATTTTAAAATTAATTTTTATACTAAAAGTAATGGAAATAATATATATATTTTATTTCTCATCAATATTGTTATGAGATATCACAACATCATTGTATTCACATCATTTAAATGTCACAATACTGTAGTATTCCTACGTGCGATCCTATGAATTCTTCGAAAAAATTATAGTTATAGCCTTTTAACACATTATGTGCTGGCAGGTATTTGTACCCGTTGCGAGGATTGTCACTTATAAGCAGGACAGGTATTAGTACCCGTTTAAAATAAGTAATTTTGATTGACAGAAGGGAAAAATAATGTGTATCAAATATATGACTACGTCTCAAAGATCGGAAAGTGAGATAGAAAAAATTCCGTCCATCTATATTTTAACCAATATTCCTAGCAGCCACGTGTCCTCTGAGCTCATAATGTGTTAATAGCTTTTAAACTGATTTTAACGATACCACATTACCAAAATTTCAATACAAACAAGAAAATTTAAATTAAAATTTTGTAAAACCTATAAATCAATCTTTCTCACCGCAAATAAAAGCACTCCAATCTAATATATCGCTATCCAAAGTTTTGATTGATATCTTTTAGCGTTTTCTATTAATTAATCTGGGGTAACTTTTTTAATCGAGATTTATAAATTGGGATTTGATTCGATATATGTTTTTATTAAAAATATAAATATTTACTAACACAACTAAAAAAATTTTAGATTACTCTAAAAATGTTTGATTAGACAATAAAATTTGCATCGAAATCTAAAACGCCAAATCTTTCTCAGCACGAACAAAAAAACACTCTAGATATTTTGCCAGAGTACCAAGATTATCATGATTATCAATGATTATCAATATCATCAAAAAAATTAACAGCTGATTCATATGATTTGACAGATAAAGTATAATTTGAGTCGACATATGCATTTATTCATATATCCAGATTTACTTAACGAAAAGCCCATGAAATATCCATCAAAACATTCATTAGAGTATAAAGTATGAAGCTATAAGTATTATTATGTTAGATATAACAGTCCAGTTTTTATTATTAAAGAAATCAAATACACTTGAACGACGGATAGTTACCGTACCAGTGTTTGCCAATATCTTAATTCTAAAATAGATAGTTGCTAAAAAAATAGATAGTTGCTAAAACAGATTTATTAATCCAAAAAATTTTTAAACGAAGATTAATAGGGAATTGAAAATATTAAATCGCATAGCAGTAGATCCATCATTAGCCATTGTCGTTAAAATCGATCTATTACCGTCTACCTAAACTCTTTTTGTGCATGAAACAAAAAACAATGCTCAGAGCCATGTTTATAATGAAGTAACTCTAAGCACGGTGCTGAAATTAGAATTTGAAAGTAACAAAAATATAATATTTGAAATGAAGTTTTAAGATATCTTCCATTAACACATAATATACAGTTAGCACAAAATCTGGCTTTAAGAAGACTAATTAAGATTACTTGGTATATTAGAAGAACAGACATGCATAGAGACCTAAAAATCGACTCATTGAAAAAATATATCAAGGACAGAGCCCTAAAATTATTCACAAAAGTTGATACGTTGCTCAACCCCGCCCTAACAAACCTTAAGTCCAACTCAGGACGCACAGGAAGATATGCTAATCTACGGTCCGTCATCAGTTAAAATATAAATAAATGATAATAATTCTAGTACAGTTAAAGCTTAGTGTGGGGCAGGGATAAACCCTTCATTGTAGAAAACTTGACGGTAACTGATTCTTAATGGTATTGCAAAATATTTTGGACTCATAAACCAAAAAAATAATTTATTAATTTCAATAAAAATGTAACGTACCGATTTAAAAAAAAAATACGACTAACTAAAAAGATTTTGATAAAATATCACTTACCTGAAGTATTTCAATAGTGATAATGTTCGTTATTAACAAATTTTCCATATGTCTAAATATACGACTGGAGTACATTAACTTCCATAAAATTATTCTATTCTTTAAATGTTTCTTAAATCTTTACACAAGTTTAAGACAAAAATGTAAACGATCTATAAGATATACTAGATTTTATAAAATTTAAATGCACAGCAAGATTTATAACATCGATTTGACATGGATATATTGAAAAAAAAATATTTTTTTCATTAAAAAAAAATCTGGTAACTTAGTTAACAGAAAAATATATATCATATCATATTATGCACCATGTTTTACGGTGCACAGTCCTGCAGGAAGGAGAGTTGGAATTGGATTAAGAAAGAATTTACCAACATACAGAGAACAAAGAACAAGCATTCTACTGAAATAATCAAAAAAATTTCCTTAATATGGTAGTTTATTATTTTTCAGATATTAATTAATAAAAAAGATAAGAGTCCTCACACTTCAAGTTATTGGTTATTGCTCTATAAAACTATCTGAAACATACATCTGCTAACACATTTACCAACAACGTGTCCACCTTGATCCAACACACTTAGAGACTTTCAATTATCTCGAATATAAATTCAGACAGACAGGTGCCCATATCATGAGTAGTTGGAACGTATCCTAAATCTTCATACAAAACTTTAGCTTACTAAAACCACTTCTCAAGAATAACATGAAAAAATTGCAGTCAACGATACGTGAGAAACCAAAAGCTGAACTGCTATTCCAGTAATCAATAGTAGATGAAAAGATCAATAGGGCTGATATTAAATTAAGTTTATTTAAACTGTAGAGCATGTGCAAGAAAGGCAAAATAGAAGGTTGCGGCTAGTAAAGGGGGATAGTAAGTGACCAAATTATTTATTGACTATTTACGTTTTGAAAGCAAAGACCTTAACTGTAGAATGAAGCTAGAGTGGGAAATTTTTAACCTCATTATGAAAATTGTCAAAATTCTGATTTGATAAACATGCTCATTTGATAATTGATCTTAATAAAGACAGCCAGAGGACATCTCTTATTATAATAAGCGTCATGTTATGCAGACAGTCATGGTCACGTCAAATCTGAACGTGGGTATAATAATCTTAATAATACGTTTCGCAGACACAACGAGCTCTAAAGCAACTTTAAAGTACTGAACAATAAATAATCATTTTTTTCTGAGATTTAAACCATCTTATTAGAAATGAATTCCTATCAGATGAAATTGAACTAAGATTTTGGAGAAAAATTCTAGTCCAAGAAAAATTGTGTCAATTACTATATAACCATATAGCAAATGGTATCCTGGCTTCTATCCTGATAATTTTTCGATAGTCATATGTAGCTAATGATTACTTACTTTTTTCTTAAGGAAGTATTCCACCCGTCCTAAAATTATTTATGTTGATATAATATTACTAATGATTACTTACTTTTTTCTTAAGGAAGTATTCCACCCGTCCTAAAATTATTTATGTTGATATAATATCTCCTGTCTTGTTTCAAATTTAAGGTTATTTTAAAATTATGTCTTTGTGGTGAGGACATCTAGAGTGTTAATCCTTCAGAATGATGGTAAAATATTTTAATATAGCTTTTTAGTCCACAAATCTTTTTCCTTCCAACGGCAACTATATTTTTAACCATAGGGTTTTAATTATGGTAAGAATTGGAACGTTTGATATTTAAAATTACTAAGCCTTTGACGGGATTTGTCATATTTCGAAAATCCTACTCCACAAAGTTTATATTTCGCATAAGGTATCAAACTAGAATGTATGTACAATATAATTTATTATATTAATTAAGTAATTAATTAACTAATTAAGAATATATCTGTTATGAGTTTAACATTCATAACTTCCTTATATTGTTTACATATTATTAATAACTTCCGTAGTTAAAGCAGCAGGGATCTTGAATCCATAAAGAATGGATTCTACTATTTGTGGTTTATAGTTATTAGAGTAAAACGGTATACGCTGAATATTACATAAACACGTTCATTTGTATTTAAATTAGTAAGTATAAATGGCTTAGAGAATTTTTTTTGTAAACTTTCTCAAGCGTTTCATATTTAAAGGTCACAAAGTTCATATAAACATGATAAAGCCATCCATTATTTTAAATAATTTTTTATTGCATTTTGGACACATTTGGTGTTATACTGAAATACTGTTACGGACAAAGGTTAAGACTAGCGTACGTGTAAATGGGTTGCTCTATTTTAGGTACTGTTGTGCAAGTTCACATATTTTCCCATTCGTGTAACAAAAATGTAAGATTTAATTTTTTAAGTAATTTATGAGTTAAGTTAATTAACACATTTTTAAATAATTCCTGTTTTTGTGACTTACTTTTAGATCGCATAATCACTTGTAGACACCTATTCAGAATGTGAGAAGTATACATATATTCTCAACGCCACAGTAACTAATTCGATAGTACAACGAATAATTCTAAAATGGCACTCAACTCTAAGAAATTAAAACTAGTAAAAATCAGTAGAAACAAACAAAATTTGACGCCAGAAAAAGTGCGTTTAAAAATGTCTTCCTCACGAATAAATTTATCTATCATTAGAATAATTTTAATGTTAATAATATCAAAATCGATAGTATGCAACCGTCCACCAAGATTTGCTACAGACGGACAGTCAGAGATTGTGTTAAGGCTAAAGGAAAGTCCTGAAACCCAAGTTGGTAAGTTCATTAAAAGCAAAATCATAAATCATACCTATTTAGACTACCTTAATATATCAAAATCCTTTAATATTGTCATTTGTATTTTTATATTCCTTAAAAGTATTTCCATAAATCCTACTCCCTTTTAATAGCACTTCTTCACATACAGTTCAAGTATTAAATAATAAAATTTATTTAATAGATTTTCATTATATTTTATAGGTACACTTATTTATAAACTTAAAGGTTTTGATCCAGATAATGATCCTCTAACATTTGGCAAACGTCCAACACCCGACAGTGATGTTATACGCATTGAAAACACTAACAGTAACGAAGCTAACGTTTATTTAGCTAAAGAACTTGATAGAGAAGTATTTAAACTCTTCACCCCTAAAACTTATACCATAAAAATATAATATTAATTACTATTTTAGACACAAGATGAATACTCAATAATTTTAACACTCAGTGATAATCATTACAACGATTTTAATTATGTTACACAGAGTTTTCTACTCTTGGTAGAAGATATAAATGATAATGCACCAATATTTTTACCTTATCATAGTGCTATTGAAGTGCCAGAGAATAGTTCACCAACAGTGCTTATGTCACTAGAAGCTACCGATGCAGATGAGGGTGCATACGGACAAGTTGTGTACTATTTGCAAGAACTAGAAGGCGATAATGATATATTTTCTATAACAACTTATCAAGGGAAAGGCATACTTAAGCTTATTGGCGATTTAGATTATGAAAATAAAAGCTTATATCAATTACGTGTCTTAGCCATAGATCGTGCTAATCAGGGACCAGTCAACACTGGCACTGCCGCTATACTAGTCAAAGTAACCGATATAGAAGATCAACCCCCAGAATTTGTGGAAGTGCAAGCAGTCGCAAGAATTGCAGAAGATGCACCCATACGTACAAAGGTTTTACGTGTGCGTGCTATTGATGGAGATCGCGGTATCAATAATCCAATACAATATGAAATTGAAGAGAACGAGTTATTTGATATAGAACCTAGCACAGGCATAGTTTACACTATAAGTGAATTAGATCGTGAGGATACGACTAATCAAGTCAATGGCGCACACATATTGCAGATAAAAGCCACGGAAATATCTAAAGTAAGCATAATATATAGAAAATCAGTGACTAAGACCAAAATACTAATTTAAAAAATATTACTAAAAAAATATTGTAATTTTCTAGTCAACTACAAATACAGTGGACAATACGACAGCACAAACGGAAGTCACAATCATAATTACAGATGTTAACGATGAGATACCAACGTTTAGCCAAAGCATTTATCGTTGTGAAGTCAATGAAAATGCACAGGTTAATACGCCTTTGACTTATATGGATGAAAATGTACAAAATTTTGTATATGATGGCGATGTAGGGAAAAATGGTACTTTTCGTCTGTTCTTAGATCCTCAAAATGATATTTTCGAAATTGTGCCAGCCTTAGCAGTCAATGAGGCGAATTTCATTATACGTGTGAAAAACTCTGAAGCCATAGATTACGAGCGAATGAAAGAAATAAACTTTACTATATTTGCGAGGGAAATAGAAGAGACTAGCAGATGGAGGTAATTTACTCTTCTTAATTTAGATATTAAGATATACTAAAATTGTACTCTTAATTCTATTGCTTATTCAAATTTCAATGGCATTTAGACCCGTACACACTGCGTCCATTTTGTCATAAGATAAATTAGATCTTATTGTGCGGTCTGGATGGATCAAAAACTATTTTAAAAAAGTGTTAATAGAACTTATAATTGCTTTATAGTTTTAAATAAAATATTTTCAAATTAGTTTTTGAAGATGAATACAGATAGATAGGAAGGTTGTATCCAAGAAAGCCCATTTGAGCTCAAATAATGACCTATTGTGATACCACAGGAATAGCAATGGTTCGTACGTAGACTAAAAGATCAGTATACGACCAGCGCAAAAAACGGCAACGACTCTCACATTAGGTACGGATAAACCAACCTACAGTTTTATGAATTTGGCTAAGTCCCTAAAGAAGGGCACTGACATATGAAATAAAGCACAGTCTCCTCCTCAGCTTCAGAGTTACAGCCGCGACAGAAGTCGTTATAGGATAAATACAGACATTAAGAAGGAACGTTTGAAAGAAGGATTTAATGAAGGAAACAATGCAAACTTTTTTGGTTCATATTTAGATCATCAATGTATTATAACATTTAGGACAAGTTATTCATAAAGAAAACGACTCCCTGTAGTATATAGCACTGCGACTTGAGGACATAACAAACCTTAAGTAGCACAAGCACAAGGGCTTTGCATAAAATTCAGAAATTCAAAACAAGTGCTGTTCTTAATATCAGACAGAGGTAGAAGCTTCTACTCCAGAATCTCCTTCGTGACCCAAACCAAAGTCAGAGAGTAAAAGCAGATAAAACATATATAGCGTACACAGGGAATGTTTCTGGCACTATACCACTGCCACCAGCCGTAGACTTTTTGCACTGAGAATCTGTAATCTAAAGACCTAAACATTTAATATTATATATAAAAAAATTTTTCAATATTAATTTTTAACCAACCATTTCATTATCTATCAATATATACAAGTACTAAATAAAATCGCGAATATATTTTTTTCAAATTTACAGTTCCGCACATGTCGAAATTTACATACGTGACCAAAATGATAATTTTCCTCAATTTAAACAACCGCTATATAACGCCAATGTACCGGAAAATAGTGATATTGGCACTATTATAACGAAAATCGAAGCAATTGATGAAGATTCCGGAGATTTTGGAACTATGGGAATACGTTACCGTAATCTTAAAGGCGGTATTGCCCATTTGTAAGTAATTGCTAACTATTATATACATGAAATCAAATTTCCCCTTTTTTGCAGATTGCAATTAGATCCAATTTCTGGCACTATATCTATAAAGCAAGCTGGTGGTGAAGCATTTGATCGTGAAATTATATCACGACACTATTTAACCGTAGAAGCTATTGATAATGTCGGTTTGGGAAATCGGAACACCGCACAAATTATAATTAACATAGATGATGTTAATGATAATGCGCCTATATTTTTGCAAAGGAGCTATGAAGCCAAATTACTGGAGAACAAATTTGAATTTGAAACCCCACTTATGTTAGAAGCACGTGACATTGATTTAAATGGGACTGAAAATAGTCAAATCACTTATGAAATAGTTGAGGGACTTTATAGAACAAATTTTTCTATAAATGCTGAAAATGGTATATTAAAACCACTACAACCTTTCGACTATGAAGAACTTGTTGAAAATAAGCGTCAAATCCGTAGAATGGATTTTGCTGTTGGGATGCGAGAAATAGATCTTTTGGTACGTGCACGTGATTCTGGTATACCGATGTTATCAACAGTTGTACCAGTGCTCATCTATGTGCAGGATATTAATGACAATCCACCAATTTTTCAAAAGAATTTTTATGCTAAAACAATACCAGAAGATCTGCCTGGTAGTAGTTCTGTATTGCAAGTGCAAGCAATCGATCGAGATGGTTCCGCACCAAACAATGTCATTGTGTACCGCATTCAAGCGGGCGCAAGTGATAAATTTATAATTAATTCAGAAACCGGAATAATATCAGTTGCTCCAGGTGCCAATTTGGATCCAGATCTGACAGATAATAAGAGAACAAATTATATCTTGACAGTGGTAAATATACTATTACTCGTATTATATATTAATTTATATGATATAATATTATATTAAATGTAAACGTTTATGTAAACATGTGATGCTAAGTGGTTCTTTATTACTGTATAAGTAGCAATTATAAAATTTTATCGTTCTAATATAAATGGGAATAAGTGGTGAGAATTGGAAATAAATGGTGGGACATAGATAGATTTTATCAGCATTATTTGAGCTTTATCCGCTGTTTGATCTATAAAAAGTGTTTGTCTTTAATATTTGTAAAATCAAGATTCATGAGTATGGAATAGTTAGCGATAATCTATAGCACTCTGATTTTATCTATTGATTCCATTGAAAATTCTAAAGGGTTAACAGTTAACCAATAGGTGAGTTATTTATTTACTTTCAAATCCTTAATCTTTTTTCATTGGAATCTAGAATCTTTGAACTGTTCTCAGTAATAAAGCAAAAAGACGCCACGACCTAGAGAACTTAACTATAACGAAGTAGCTACATTAAAGAATTTATATAATTCTGAAAACTACTTGTTTGGAATCTAGTGTACTGCAATTGTTTTTCTTAACATCGAATGTTTTCTAAAACAGAGTATTAGACGCTATGACCTATAAAATTTAAACATATTGAAGTAGTTCAACAACACTACAAATTCCTAGAAAGGAAAGAAAGGAAAACATATATAATAAAACAATTCTACTTCATATATTCACAGATTGCTCTTGATGGAGGTATAGGAAACTCGCAACTCATGAACTCAGCCACGGTTAATATTACAATTAAAGATGTAAATAATAAGCCTCCTATTTTAAGTGACCTACCTACGGTACACATAATGGAGAATACACCGGTGGGGCAAACAGTATATCAAATAAAGGCAACAGATTTGGATGAGCTTCCCATTATTAGATACCAAATAAACAAAAGCAATTCTGTAGCTCGAAATGAAGAGGGATCATTTGTTAAGACAACCGAATATGATTACCTTTCAGTATTTGACTTAGATCCAATTGAGGGAAACCTAAAGGTTTGTTAGTAGCTACACTTAAATAATTTAGGAATATATCGTCAGATCAATGTTCTATTTTTTGCAGTTGGTAAAGATATTAGATCGTGAAAAAGTGGAGCATATTAAATTAGCTATTCTAGTTGAAGACTTGGCAGCTGCTAATGGAAAACAAGTTGTAGAAGGTAGAGTGTCATTAATAGTGTACTTTAATTAAATAATTAAATAAAAAATTCTTTTTATTTTAAGGTTTCTTAAATATTGAAGTCGATGATGAAAATGATAATAATCCCAAATTTAAGCAGCCATTTTATCGCAAATCCATTACAGAGAATAGCATAAATGGCATTTTAATAGCAAATGTAGTTGCATATGATATAGACAAAAACAAAACAATCATATACTCGATGGAAGGCAATCCTATTTATAGAAACTTAGTACACCTGGATACACAAACCGGTGAAATACTTGTGGCAAATAAAATCGATCATGAACAACATCAATGGTTAAATTTCTCTGTACGTGCAACCGATTCCGGTGTACCACCTAGATCAACGTTAGTAGATGTATTTGTGTCTGTACTAGATGAAAACGATAACAATCCATACTTCATTGGTGGTTCAAAAAATTACACGATAAGCGAGAATGCTGCAATTGGTACAAGAGTAGGCACAGTACAAGCTGCAGATGCTGATTCTGGAGATTTTGGAAAAATCACTTTTTTAATGGATCGCATTAGCTCACAGGTGACACCGATTTTTTTAGATATAATATATATTAACATTTTTTTACAAAACTGTGTTGCAAATCTTAGGGAAAGTTTTCAATTGATGCGGATACAGGAGTACTAACAGTCACCGAAAAGCTTGATCGTGAATTGAAAGATTTTTATATGTTAGTTATAGAAGCTTGGGATAACTATCAGTTTGGTTTCTTAGCTGGCGAAAGTCGAAATGCGTTTAAACAAATTTTGTATGTTGTTTTGCTTAAAACTAAGTATTGTGTATTAACCATTTTTTAGTATTTCCATATTGGATGAAAATGATAATGCACCTGAAGTTACTTTACCTACGAGTTGTGTTCTCATCACCGAATACCACGAATTGAACGAAAAAATTGCTACTGTACAAGGAAAAGATGCAGACGACCCAAATTCTCCAAATGGACAATTGAAATTTAGCATAAGCAAGGGAACTAAAGAAGGTTGTGGTATAGTTTGTTTTATAATATATATTGCATATGCGTATATTATATTAAATTGTATTATTCTATTGATGTTATATATTTAGGAATTTTTGGATTACAACAAATTGATTCCTGGACTGCTTACATTTTTGTAAGAACATCCCTGCGTAATAGATTCGGAAACTATACTCTTACGATAACAACACGTGATTTAGGTGTACCAGCTAATGTAGTAACAAAGCAATTAGATGTATGCGTATCCGATTTTAATGATCACGCCCCGATTTTTGTTTCGCCCTTGCGGAATACAACATTACGTATACCAGAAAATTCTACAGTGGGTAGTATGATTATACAGGTAATGGCTATAGACGACGACATTGGTATGAATGCTTTGGTACGTTATAGGCTAAAGCCTGACCCATTAGGTAGCTATAAACTTTTTGAAATGGATGCTGAAACAGGACAACTTTTTCTCAAAGAGAAACTAAATCGTGATAAACAAAAAATTCATGAGGTATGCTTTTATTAGTGCAATATGCAAGTAACATATATTCAATATATATAATGTTATATGAATTTTTCATAGATAAGAATTGAAGCTTATGATCAAGGTTTACCAGCGTCATTAAGCAGTGATCTTCATTTAACTATTTTAACTATTTAACTATATAATGTTATATGAATTTTTCATAGATAAGAATTGAAGCTTATGATCAAGGTTTACCAGCGTCATTAAGCAGTGATCTTGATTTAACTATTTATATACGAAATGTTAATGACTATGCGCCACAATTTTTAGTAGACGAGATTTTTGTAAATTTTACAGGTTAGTTTACATATATATACATATATATATATGATATAATGTTCTAATTATATTTATCCTAAATAACAGAACATGCTGACCCTGGCTCAGAACGTATTAAATTACCTGATACTATCGATAAAGACGAATTAGATGATTTCGATAATCCACCAAGTCAAGTATGCTATTTTATTATAAAAGGTAATGAAGATGGCTTCTTTAACCTAGAACAGGATACGCATATTTTAACTGTTGAGAAAGAGCTTGATCGCGAATTAAAATCCAACTACACACTTTATGTTAAAGCCACAGAAGATTGTGCTTATAATGAGCATCCAAACGATATTCCAACAAATAAATCTATTGATATTGTAGATAACTCATTCAATCCGTATCTGGAAATATATAGCAACAATATGCGAAAATCTGAAATTCAAAAAGCTTCTGACATTTATGACCGTCACAAACACTCACGTAACTTACGTTCAGTGCCAGCTTCACGTTTGGCTTTCGATACCATAGAAAACATGTTTGAAGGAAAAAACAATGATTTTTATGATGAAATAAGAGTTACGAAGAAGCCTCCAAAAAATGTAGAACCACTAGTGACAGATAATACAATAGTACGTATCATGGTTCGTATATTAGATATAAATGACAATCCTCCACGTTTCCGTACAAAAATATTCACTGGAGGCATATCTACGAATGCTGATTTCGGCACTAAATTTATGCGCGTTGAAGCTTATGACCCTGATGAAGGCATCAATGCTAAGATTAACTATTACCAAGTGGGCGAAATACGTCAAACTTTATCAGAGGGTTTAGAGAATGTACGTAAATCACCTTTTTTGGTTGACCGCGAAACTGGAGATGTACAATTAAATTTTGATCCACAAAAAAGCATGAAAGGCTATTTTGATTTTATGGTCTTGGCAAATGACACACTTAGTATGAAGGATGTGGCTCATGTTTTTATTTATTTACTGCGTGAAGATCAAAAAGTTAGATTCGTGTTTCGCTTACAACCGGATGAATTACGTGAAAAAATTGATATTTTTCGGAAGTAAGTGTAATATATTTTTTTTATAGAGCTCGAACTTCTATTACTCAAACTTCTATAACTCGAATTTTCTATAACTCGAACTAAATAGAGTGCTACAGGGTTTAGAGAGCACATTATATATAATTACAAAAAAATTCTTTAACTCGAAGTCTTCATAAGTCGAACCTTTTCTATGCAAAATGGTACTTCGAGTTATGGAAGTATGTTATGTACTTAAGTCGAGTTATTTATTTATATTAAATATGTTTTTTTTTGCATTTAAATTGAATATATTTTAATAATTATTTAAATTCTTTTTTATGTGCTTCAATATATGTAGTACGTTGAGCAATGTTACCAACTCTATTGTAAATATTGATGAAATAAAAGTACATGAAAATAAGGATGGATCTGTTGATAAGACGAAAACTGATCTATATATGCATCTTGTCGAGAAAGAAGATAATTCTATATATGAAGTAACAGAAGTACTAAATCTCATTGATCTACACATTGAGAGTTTAGACCAACTTTTTAAAGAGCTAAATGTTTTAGATACACAACCAGCGGAAACTGAATTACTTACAGCTGGACCACCTAAAGGTCCTATTTTTATATGGTTGGTCTTTACAAATCTCTTTCTAGCTTCTTTACTTTGTGTTACTTTAGCGTTATGCGCATCTCAACGGAAAGGATATCGTCGTCAATTGAGAGCTGCAAAAGTTAAAATATTTCGTAAGTATATTTAAAGCTGTTTTTTTACTCAAACTGTAGGACTCTGCTAATTCGGTTCCTGCAAAATCGGGTTCAATTCGGATTTTAGAAACATTGAGATTACAAGATTCATATCGAAAATCCTGGAAAAGTTTTTTAGTCTATGAATTCCTTTTAACAATAGAAACTTAACAATAATCCACTGTTCATTTAAGTAATTCATAAATCAAATGACATATTCACATGATGAATGATGAAGTGATGAATGATAAAATAAATAGAAAACAAAGTATGTACATAGAAGCGTGTATGCACATAATCCACAAATGTGATTTACTTTACTAGACTATCAAGTAGATATATTCAGCACATGTGATCGGAATTATCAAAATGGTGATCGAACCACAAGGCCACAAGGCATATTTTGCATTTTCTAATTTTATCCCAATCAGGAAGGGATCCGAATTACCAGAGATTCGGGCTAGCTTAAATCTACTCAATGTAAAACTTTTTAAATGATATTGTGAGTAAACTCACATTCCATTACTTTAACTTCATATTTGGGCGATTCAAATCTTCGTAATTGAAGATGTTACCAGAACCAGATTTAAGAATCTAACAAATATTACAAAAGATATAAAACCTAGGACATGAGCTGGGCAAAAACACAGTAGATAAGAGACACTCTCATCGTCTTTCCCACAGCTACGACAGATTTAATTGAAAAGAAGACCTAATCTTCTAGCATAGTTCCCTAGTTTACAGTGGTCTGTAAGTAAACCTACCAAAAGATCGATGTCTCTGCGGGAGAATTTTAGATCTCAATGAGAATTTTAGATTTCCTTTTATCGCAAAGTGGTCAGATTGCATACAGATGTATGCATATCGCTGAGTCTTCCCATATTTTGTTAAAAAGTTTTGTGCAGAAAGAGCTCAGTAATAATTTACAAGATGTTAGCGATATACCCAGATTGTCTAGATGTTCAGAGTAAGGTTCTGAAGCACCCTTTCTGGCTACCTTGTCTGCCCTGCAATTACCGAAAATATACCTATGGCCGCGAAGCCAGATTAGAGAAATATTGAGCTGCGTCGACATTTCGTTTAGAGATGTGTAGGAGTCAAAAACCGTCCTAGATGTAAATTAGTCTGAACTCAAGGACTTTAAAGCAGCTTGACTGTCTGATAGCATGCATATATTCCTGCCTAATATATCATCTACATTCAAACAAGCTGTAGCTTCCCTAATGGCGATCACTTTCGCCTGAAAGACACTACAATGATCTGGAAGCTTAAAATAGGAAGATTTGTTCAATTCCTCTGAAAAAACTCCACTGTCTACACCACTATTATAATCAATAGGTTACCAAAAAAGTATTAGATAGTTAAGAAAAAGTTTAAAAAAAACAAACACTTCATAAATATACTATAAGGTTTCCAAATTCTCTCCAAATAAATTGTTTTAAGAATTTATTCTAATATTCTAATATACCTTCTCCATTTTTCAATATAGTTTATGGAATCTAGTACTAAAACTTGGAAATATATGTTATAGTAAATTTTTGAAATGTAATTTATATTTATTTGTATAAATAAAAGATTTAAAAAATTTTATATTATGCACTTAAATTAACTAATATGCTCCCTTTTTTGATAAATACAAAAAGGATCGTCCTCACTATCTCTTCAAAATAATGTTGAACCAGCTACTCGCGTGCCCAATACAAACAAACATTCAGTGCAGGGTTCCAATCCTATTTGGTTAAAAGGTTATGAAAATGAATGGTTCAAAAATGAAGAAAATTTAAGGTTTGTTCAAAAATAAATAATATATACCATATATATAATTTAAATATGAATATAAATTTTGCAGTCAAGGTGGACAAGACTCTCTCGATGAAAACTTTCTTGCTATTAGTACTCAGGACATTCACGAAACGCTTAAGGGTACAGCTAAACTATTTAACTACACCAACGACCTTAATCGTCACTTCAACGTCTATAATCAAATAGATAAACTGACGAATAATGCTCAGATACTAGCAAAAAAGCTAGAAACAACAGAATTGTAAATTATTGTATTTTTTTATTTATATTCTTATAATATTAAAATTAAGTTTAAGTTTTAAAAATGTAAATTTATAAATATTTGTGTACAATTATAAATTTTGTAAATAAAATTCTTAAACTCTTAATATATACATTAAGTTTTAATTGCATTAATATCGATTCCTTTATCGAATACATATGTTACCTAAAAAAAATTTATTTGAATATTTTTTTATTTAAAAATGAAAGATATTATTATGAAAAAAAAAACTCGAAACATAAACTAAAAATTAATTTAAAATAAATTTTTGAACTTTAAAAACAAAAATATTAAAATCTTTTTCATTAATCCCCGACCATATAAATCCTTTTGCCTGTCCAAAATATTAAATATACTCTTTTAGTCTAGTTTAATAGATGAAATGCAATCAAGAAATATAGCTTTCAGTTGTTCTTTAATAAAATTTTAAAAAGAAATTAACAAATTATGTGTTTGATATATAAAATAGTCAATAATCAACGAACACAACGAACATAATTCGTTATATAAAATAGTCACTACAAAATTTTATCGTTCGTTAAGTAATTGTATTCTGACAGATACCAGCTCCTAAGCTCAATAACTCGTGGAACTAAGTTTTTTTTTTATTCATATGCCATTTAATAGTGTATGCATATATCACCATCAAAAGCATCTTAAGAAAAAAAGGGTATTAGTGGTTAATAGGCATTGAATTTGTAAATGTTTAGTGTGAGAAATGTTATTTCTCTCAAGATTCAACAATGCTAATTCTTATCCCATTTTAGTAACGCAATTATTCAATCCAAAAATGAAAAATTATATTACGGCCTTATAAAAGAAAATATATTAATATGGACAAAACGTAACACAAATTAATAGAGTAATCTACTAAAACGGAAAACAATAAAAGAAATTTTCATGTCTGTTTTACTAAAAAATATTCTTATTTTAATTTTTTTTTTTAATATTAAAGTTTTACAAAAATAAATCACAAATGCAATAATTTACGAAAGTTTTGCTAATATTTGTTAAAATATAATGTTTGTATATATAAAGTTAATTATTAAGTTTTTATTAAAACTGTTTCCACACTTTATCCGTTTTTCTTTTCAGTGCAATTATAGTTTATCGTATATATTTCGTTTTTCTTAATTATTATTTTAAATTAAACTTAAAAAAATAAAGCAATAGAATTTGATTTTTGAGAAATAAAAATAATTTTGTTCGCTCTACTTAAAAACTAAATATAATATAACATATAAAAAGAGAATATATAAATAATATAAAAAAATTAAAAAAAATAAAAAAGTTTAATGAAAAAATAGTATCGACCCTACTTAAAAATAATTCGCTATAAGTCTCTTATATTTATTAATATATATGTATATATATATATAAATATATATATATTGATATAATTATTAATACATATATTATTAATTAAATTATTTTATTTATATTAATGAAAAATGGATTTTTGTTTTTAATACTTTAAAAAGTACAATGAACTAAAATTCAGCATAGAAACAAAAGACGAAATGAACAAATCGGAAAGAAAGTTACTTTCTGATTTCATACAGAGTCTTATGGCGATATAAAACGCGAATTGTTTTATGTGTAATAAATACATATAATTCGTACGTGTTTTATTGCTAAGATAAATATGAAAAATTATTTTATATTTTTTTATAAAAACTAAAATATAAATTTTAAATTAAAAACGATAGAAATCGTTATATACGTATATATAACAATTTATTGAAACACTTCAATAAAAAAAAATTATACTAAAACAGTAATTGGTGTATATTATATATAGTAATACAATTCGCGGTGTCTATATTCCCTTGTACAAAATGGATGCAAAGTTATTTTTATAAAATATATTACAAAAAGAAAACTTAGAAATAATTATAAATTCATTACAATTTATTATGTTGATCTTAGTTTTAAGATTTTAGTTTTTTTACTTGGTTTCATTTTTTAAATTTTTTTTACTATTCATTTTTGTTTTTAGTGCAGTACACTTTGGAGTTTCTACAACTAATAAGCAATTGAAGCTGCTTTTTAATTTTACATCTATATACAAATAATTACAATTGTTCGCTAGATTAAGAAATTTAATTCAACTTAAATTTACATATTTTTAATTTAATAAGAATAGTTTCAAATAAAAATTATGCATATTTGCATACATACAAAAGCAAAACATTTAAATTAAAATTTTTCAGTAAAAATCTTAATAAATGAACAAACTTAACTAATTGAAAGTTTAAAATAATCATACAATTTTTTCCATATATCAGTTATTTTCACTACTATTGTCCAAAAGCACAAAAATAAAAAATTACTATATGTATAAAAAATTATATCAATAAAATTTATAGCTTTGCAAATAAGTTTGTTAATCTCATTTTTATAGTTTTGTTTTTTTTTTTGCTATCGAATAACTGAACTAAATTTATGTTTGTACTAAACCGCGAACATCCGTTATAGTTGAACAATTACCAGAGGTGCCACCACCAGATCCACCATTCGTACCGCTATCAATAAATAATGCCGAAGTGTCAATGTTGCTACATATATCTTCATCATTTAAAAAATCTTCGTTCACATCTAGAAAATCTCCGAGGAAATCTGAATCAGAACCGATAGTTTGTTGTAAACTTTTTAAATGTTTATCGGCAAGCGCTAAAGCACGTTCCACTTCATCACATTCATCTTGACGCACTAAATTAGGTTTCACAGTACTGAATAAGTTTACAATTCAATTTAAATAAATTTTTTAACAAATTACCAGCAGTAAATAATTCGTTGAAAGCATCTACAGGCAAAGAATTGAGCACATTATCTAAATCATTTTCTTCAAGCAAATGTGTATCGTCTAAGGGTATGTCATCTACATAAAAATCAGAAATGATAAAGATTTTTGCCTTATTTTCACTTTAACAACAAAATAATAAAAATTACCATCATGTGGTCCAGGAATAATTTCAGATTCACTTAAACCGCCAAGTCCAGTATCTTCTGAACTAGCATAAGCAGAACTATTCTCGCACATGCTTAGCATATCCTGTGTTAGTAATTCATCAGTTGAAGGTAATGATGAGGTTGAAAAAAGTCCCGACGTAAAGTTCGAGTTGGAGTTAGTGTTCATAAAATTCATATTGTTGTTGTTATTGAAAATGCCGTTTGAATGGTTTATATTATTTGCTTCGTGCTTGTTCGCCAGCATTGTAAATTGTGCAACAATTTGGTTAATATCATGTGCCTTCTTGTCATCATTGACATTGGCATCAAGAGTGCCAAAATTAAGCTTACGCTGTGGTGATATCATATTTCCACTGTAACTGAGTGGAGCTAAAGCTGGAGGTGCCAATGAATTGGACGGCATATATAATTGTGAGTTGGATGAATGCGAATTACTGGCTATTGATTCGAGCGATGTTGTACTACTCTTACGTTGCAACACTGCAGATACTGGTACAATTTTTGGTTCAACGGCACTTGATTGCATTTTTTTATTACGCTTTTGTGGACGACCAACTGGATTTACCAATGTTAATTTACGTTTGCGTGGCGCAGTTAATTTTGATAAATGTAATTTTTTATTATTAGCAACACTAATATGCGCTTCTGGTTGTGGACCACTTCGATGATTCTGTGGTGTTAGAGTAATTGTAGACATTTTACGTTGTTCATTTGCAATATTTGTATATTCCCCACGCTTATGCGCGTGTTCATTGCAAAGTGGAATATCATTCATTATATCAAACACTGTTATAGGGCATTGTGTATTATCCGAAAGCTTAGCGGAACAATAGGAAAATAATGGTTGTGCGGGATTCTTCACAATATGTTTTACGCAATTTGTAGCCATATCCAAAGCATGATCATTGCAAGAAGGTACAGAACATATATTAATGGTTTGTCTAAAAAAAATTTACAATAAATGGTTAATTTAATTCTTTAGTGTTGTGAAGTAATTAGATTGAATGAATTTACTTACTTTTCATTAAAAACGTCTTTATATTTGCGTAACAGTCGATCAACACAAAGTAAACGTTGCCGAGCTACATGAAGTGGATTTTTCTGCATAGATTTTACTGAAAAGAGTTGCAAAGCCTGACGCTGCAAGAGATTCTTGTATTTCAGTATACGCTCTTCGCGAGCCAGGTTTCCAGATTGTGCAGAACAATGCTCGCCTGAGTTATTTTTCTTTTGATCAAAATTTATACAGTTTTGTTGTATGCAGTAGGGTAAAATATATGAAGCGGTTAAAAGTGATATATCTACATCTGTATTTTGTTCAGCTATTCTGACTACTGTCACAGCTTTTTTACTAGAAAGACCATGATTGTCAGATAAAGCTTTCTTTGCATTAAAACCATTCACTCGTATTTTACGATTTTTCTTTTGACCCAAAGATGTCTGAGTCTGAGATTGATTTGCAAATTTTTCATTTGAATAATTCTTTTTAAGATTTTTCGCTGTTGCTTGTATTGAAGATACTTTATTTTGCGGAGTATCAACTGGTACATTTTTCTTTACTTCATTTGTTAAAATATCACGTTTGGAATCAACAATATTAGAGCTGACATTTTGAATATTTTGTTTGGAAGACAAATTATGTTTTGCAATATTATTAGTTTTCTGATGCAACTGAGATTTAATACTAGGTTCTATAAATTGATCATTTATTGTATCTACAGTTTCATCTACTTTCCGTAATTGTAAAAGTTTTGGAACTTGTGTGCTCTGTTGTAATTCACAAGAATTTGCAGCGGATAAACTGTTTGAAACTTCTGATTTATTATCAACAGTTAAAGCTGCTGGTAGGGATATTGACGATATATCCAATAATTTCAATTTCTGTATAGATTTTTCCGTTATGCTGGCCCGAGTGTTACCATTTAAATTTTTTTGTGGAATTTCATGTGGTGATTCTGTTTTACTGGAAATTTTCTTAACTGAAACTTCTTGTAAATCAGTATCGGAATGTTTTCGCTGTTCCAAAGCATGTAATGGAGGTGGTTCAGATACGCAAATAAATGTGTTCAACTGCTGTGACTCTTCTGTGCTTGTATTTAGCTTGCTTGTGTTGTTTACTGCGGTACCTTTTTTGGTATTTTTGATGCACTGCAACTTTTGAAGATGCTGCGCTACTGTTGTATGATGAAAATTGGAAGGTGGCAAAGAAGTAGCTTGGGATGTTACAACTGCTTGCGTAGTTACAACACCCATTGCTGGAGGTGTCGTGATCGTTGCCGATGAGGCCGTTGGAGATGGTAACGATGCGGGTGATGTTGGTGGACTCACCAACGGTGGCGAATCCAAAATTAATGGAGTTTGCCATAATGAAGGAGTGTGTTGAAGTAGTTGCGTAGATTGATTACTAGATTGGTTCTGCAAGCGTATTATGCATAAATTAGACGATTGAATTATATTATTTTGCTGTTGCAATGGTTGTTTAATTTGAACTTTGTGTATTTGTTTTTGACATTGAGATGAGTTTTTTAATGATGCTACATTGGTTGTTGTTGTTATTGGAGTAATAGCTTGTGTTACTGTTCCGATTAAGCTTTCCGCTAAAGACGCCTGCGTCTTTGGCAAATTATCGTTTAACTGCGCAAACGATATTTTTTGTTGACTACTAATTGATCTCGTCGGTAATGTAAGACCATTTGTTGCAATTTGAATATCTGTTAATCGGGCTCTTGCAGATTTCTAAAAAATTTTTCATTTAGATTAGATAAAGGTTAATGTACAAACTTCTATATCTCAATAAAACATATAACTTCATATACTTCTTATAACGCACGTACTTATTTTTTAATATTGAAGTCTATACAGTGAAATTAGAAAATACAGTGAAAGCTCTGTTAAACGATCTCTCTGTCTTTTTGGGTATCTATCTTAACCGTACTGTTTTGCTAACCCAGTTTTCACACTTTATTTAAAGTATGTTTTTTAAAGAGTTCTCTTAATCTAACTGTTTTCTTGATGCTGTCGTTATACGTTTAAGAGCGCTTTCACTGTATTTGTTGTAAAAAGGTTTTGAAAAATAATTATAGAATTTAGCATTTATATATTTTTTTATACCTGTGTGTTAAATAAAATAGGAGGTGTTGACACTGTGTCAGTAAATACATAAGGATCCTCAGGTATAACTGGTGACGGTGTTGTTATAAGTCTCGTTGCTTGCTGACATGACATATCCAAACTGACAATTTCTCTTTTGAAAAATTTTTCTTGGTTTCGCAAATCAGGTATTCAGGTATTGTTTAATTATCTGTAACAAAAATTAACATCAAATTAAATGGAGAGTTTTAAACAACTTTTATAAAAATTAAAATTCAGGAGCACAACATTTTATATATTATAGAAAATATTTGAAAATAATTTTGGCGATTATTATTACAACAAGAATTTTATATTTGGAACATGTTCTATGTGGATATTGACTTTATTTAATAAGAACTTAAACTAAACCTAATTTAAATTAGTTTCCAGTATTTAACTAAAACTGCTTAATAATTGTAAACAGATAAATAAATTACATTAAAAAATATTCCGCTTTTGAATGTTGGATATTTAAACACGGATCAATTGATTATTCTAGTCTAGCAGATGAATAATATAAATCAACAAATTTCATTATGAAATTAATATACTATATAAAACACATAGTCATTATTATAAAATATATGCTTATCAAACATGTTTAAGATATGCCATGAACATCTCAGATTAAATTTGTGTTTTTAATAAAATAATTTAACAGATGCACAATATTATGCAGTCTATAATTGCAGTGTAGACAAATACCAGGCATTAACGGATTTATATATAATAAAAAACTGTGTGTGTGTGTTTAGGTATACCCTGACCTTAGTTAGTACTGATTCATACGTGAAGATTAACTATTCATCGTGTCTATCACGTGTTTTAAGTTAAGATAGTATATTTTTTACCGCAAAATACTTGACTCAGTATTTTTAAAAAATAATAGGTGATAGCTTGACAAAATGTTCTTGTCGAATAAAGAAATGATTTCCATGTTTCGATATTTTTTGAGATTATCATAATACAAAGACTTAAATATAATAATAATAAAAAAAATAATAAATAATATATAACTTTAAACGGGCTTATATATGTCTCAAAGTCACTCAATAAGTTTAGTTACTAATAGCCGTACAAAATTTTTATCATTTTATCACCGTTTGCTAAAACTAACTATGAAACTATGTAGTTCCAGCTACCTGCCTACCAGAAAGGCTTAACACACGTATTATGTATAATTACACATGTATTAACGCATGTATAATGCGACTATAAATGGCTCCATTTAAATTTCAAGGAATTTCGCCGGTACCAAATAAAGCTATTCGTTTGGGTATAGTTTTCTCATTTAGAGGAAATTGTTACGGAAGTATCATAGACACGCGAATATTTTGGTCGTAGGTCATAGAGGTTCCAACAAGATTTGTCCGTAAAGACCGTCTTATAAAGCTCGTGTGAACCAAGAATGGTTAAAAAATCAAGTTCCACACTTAATTTCATCTACACAATGACTTTCGAAATCGCCAGATGCAAATCCAATGGACTACTCCAACTGGGCCATTTATAGAGCAAGGTGAGGATATGGCATAGTAAATATATCAGTATGGATGCGCTGAAGAAAACCACTAACCAAGAATGAACCAAAATACCGGACGATAATGTTCGTTAAGCATGCAATTCATTTTTTAACTGTTTAAAGGCCATAGTCAAGGCAAAAGGTGACCACATCGAGCTAGAGTGAATGGTTTCTGAAATTTTGATTATTTCCACAAATTTTTGTAATTTGAATCAATAAAAAATATTTTCACACAAAACAAATATTGTCGCTTGAATAGGTAACGCCTCAATCGCCTAACCCCGTATATATACAGAATGTTTCCTAATAAAGAATCAAAGTTCTACTTGGGCGAAAGTATTTCTTAAACTAAAAAACGGGGTGTATGTATAGTAATAAATGAATATGTATTACTGTAAAAAAAAAGGAGTAGTTCGAGAGGTAATGCTTTGGTCAAAGAAAAGAAATAAGGTGTATGTATGGTAATAAATGAATATACAGTCAGCGACAAAACTCTACATACACCCCCCATTTTTGCTAGCTCGTAAATCCAAGGACATAATAGAAAAAAGTAATGATGCAGTTTTGTTTAGAACTGTTTTTTAATAATAATAAACAAAAGAAAATCCATTCATCAATATAAATTAACAAAGTTATTCGAAAAAAAGCTAAAAAAATCATTGACAAAAGTCTACATACACTTCATTGATTTTTAGATATAGTCGACAGAAATATAAATGTTAAACGGGAAAGTACCGTTTTTCATATTTCATGCTTGTGGCATGAGTCATACATTTATATAATGCACTTAGTTGTGCTTTGAGAGTGGTATTTAATTGACACGATGGGTCCACGAAAAGAATTTCAAGTGATATGCGAAATCTGGTTATTAAGCATAGAAATGAAAAAAAACCTTATGGTGAAAATATCAAAATTAGTAAATTTGACTCGATCAACAGTTCAGACTATAATAAGAAATTATAAAAATACTGGTTCTCCTGAAAATAAACCTCGCAGTGGCCGCCCAAGGATACTCATACGTAGGGATGTCAGCTTGGTTTTAAAAGAAGTTAACAAAAATCCGAAAGTAAGTGCCTTAAAATTAGTCGAACACATTACTAATGCAACTGGAAAGCATGTCAATCCACGTATAGTACAAAGAACGTTGAACAGCCACGGTTTTCATGATAGAATACCACGCAAAGAACCTTTAATTTCTGAAAAAAACCGAAAGCTGTGCTTAGAGTTTGCCAAACAATATAAAGAAAAGGATTTTGATTTCTGGAAGCAGGTTTTATTTACAGATGAATCGAAATTCAATATATTTGAACGCGATTGGAGAGCTAAAGTTTGAAGGAAAGCGAAAACAGCACTGAATCCGAAGCATATAATGCCAACTGTAAAGCATGGTGGTGGCAGTGCTATGCTTTGGGGAGCCGTAGCTGCAACTGAAGTAGGAAAAATAGCTTTGACGTAGATTAGCATGCTTCCTAGTTGCACTAGCAATGTGTTCGACTAAATTTAAGGCACTTACTTTCGGATTTTTGTTAACTTCTTTTAAAACCAAGCTGACATCCCTACGTATGAGTATCCTTGGGCGGCCACTGCGAGGTTTATTTTCAGAAGAACTAGTATTTTTATAATTTCTTATTATCGTCTGAACTGTTGATCGAGTCAAATTTACTAATTTTGATATTTTTACCATAAGGTGTTTTTTCATTTCTATGCTTAATAACCAGATTTCGCATATCACTTGAAATTCTTTTCGTGGACCCATCGTGTCAATTAAATACCACTCTCAAAGCACAACTAAGTGCATTATATAAATGTATGACTCATGCCACAAGCATGAAATATGAAAAACGGTACTTTCCCGTTTAACATTTATATTTCTGTCGACTATATCTAAAAATCAATGAAGTGTATGTAGACTTTTGTCAATGATTTTTTTAGCTTTTTTTCGAATAACTTTGTTAATTTATATTGATGAATGGATTTTCTTTTGTTTATTATTATTAAAAAACAGTTCTAAACAAAACTGCATCATTACTTTTTTCTATTATGTCCTTGGATTTACGAGCTAGCAAAAATGGGGGGTGTATGTAGAGTTTTGTCACTGACTGTATGTAATTATGATTTACCAAAAAAAAAAAAATATATAGATCGCAAGATAATTATTTGATCCAAGAAAATAATATGTATTTATTTATTATATGTATTATATATATATTATATTATAAATATATTATATTATAAATCTATTATATTATGTATATATTATATTATATATTTATTATATTATATATACATTATATTATATATATATTATATTATATAAATAATATTATAGTAATAAATAAATGTGTTTGTTTTTGTCGAAAAAACAGCAGCCCACTTCCGATTTTTGATCAATATAAATTTTTTTAACCCATTAAAATCACATTTTAGGACTTCATGAAGAAGATTTCCGCCGCAATACAAATTTTTTGAACCCATTAAAATCACATCTTATTACTTAATGAAGACGATTTCCACCGCAATATGTAAACTTCATTCCAGTAATAAGGGCAGAGAGCTGAGATCAGAAGACTTTAATACCTAATAGGTTCAACTAAGTCAGTATATAACTTTTAAAATTATTAGAACAAATATCTTGACGGTTTTTTTTAATCATATCTTTTAAAATAATTGAACTGTACAAAAAAAAATAAAAAATTAATTTACATTACAAATTAATTATTACATTAAATTAAGCAATAATAATTTACTTTAAAACTATTTAAGTAAATAGAATGGAACAAACAATAGAACAAATAGTTTTTTGGAACAAACAATTACATTTAATATCTTCTGATATAAAAAAATACATTATCTACTATAGACTACTATAGACAAGTTTTATCTATATATTATATATTATCTACTATAGACTACTATAGACAAGTTTTGTTTGGTGTAAGCATTTTTTTTAAATGAAAATCAAAACAAACGCAGTAAATAAGTCATATCGGTGAATAATAAGAATAAGCAGACATTCGTTTATTGACGCCGACATACAAATGTATGTATGTATGTATGGTGTGTATCTCGGCCAGGGTGGTCTGAGTCTGAGGTGCAGTAATGAATGAAAACTAGAGATATTAAAAAATACATTCGCGGCATTGATAAGAGACAACTTATTTGCGAGAAAAAAAAATGTAAACAATTTGACTTTTATTATTATTTTTAAATGTCAACGTAGTTAAAATGCGTTTTAATAAAAAAAACAACAGTGGAGAGATACATTAGTCGGTTAGAAGAGAAAACAAGTAAGTGAAAATACTTTTACACACATTTAAATATATAAGAACAATCCAAACAATTATTACTCAATTTATTTTTCTTTTTGCAACAATTTTTCATTAATTTACTGAGTAAAATTTTACATAAAAGAATGAGAAATGAGGATACATAGATACATTAGTATATAAAAATGTGCTAATAAAAAAAAAAAAACATTAGTACAAAAATCGTGACGTAAATTGTTTTTTGTCCCAACTGCGCGGTATTCTTTATCTATGTACTTAAGCAATTTTATTACAAATTACAGTTCCAAACAACAAGGTTAAATGATTATACATAGACTGAATTATTCTGAATTGTTTTTATTGTGTTTTGTATGTGTTCTACAATATGAAGAAGAAATGCTTGGATTTATTTATATACTCGCAATCGCAAGTAAATTCATTATTTGTATCGTATCATCTGCAATATCATCGTCGGAAATAAAGTTAATCTCACAAAATAATTACAAATAGATAAGATGAGAATAAATTAACTCTAATAGAGAGAAGTAATAGAAATGTTGAAAAAGAATTATGGTCAATATGATAACTAAATTATCTTCATAGAAAGCCTTATTGTCTGGCGAACATTTATTATGATTATAATTTTTAAAATTTAGCATATGAATGATGATAAATCTTCATATTCTATTTTTTACTTTATTTTTACTTTACATAGTCTTTTCGAAACTGCTTCGTAAGGGCAATACACTTTCGGAATAAATATCAAAGTTATTATTTGTAGTTTATATTATATGTAATATGAGAGAGAATTATTAATATTTTAATTTCAAGATTATTGGGATATGTTTAGTTACTAGTTTTGTAAAAGGCTACTCTGAGTTTTTCTTATAGTTATAAACAAAAATTTTTTTTTTTATTTTACCATTCAAATGTATAATACAATTAGAAATAATATTTTGATATAACTACGTTAAAAAAGTTACTGAATATATATATACAACAAAAAAATGAACAACTTCTATAAATGGAATTAATAAATTTGATTTTAAAATCAAATAAAGAGAGGTATTAGATAGGTTTTTGAATAGTAGTGAATTACAACAACATAATTTTTATTATTTATAATTTTATTGATCATAGAGCTGTTTTGTGTATTGGCAAATACCCGTCACCACTGGTCTTATTGGAATTATTTTTTATGTGCAATAATTTGTAAATAATTTTTTGGAACTGTAAGTACCAAGGCTTGAACTTGCAACCTGTCAAAATTTTAAACCTAGCGTCAGTGTTAAACAGTCAAGTGATCCAAAGCCATACTTGACTTGTAGGCCAAAAATTAAATTATTTACAAATAATGATATTTTGTGGTTATAATTCACTACAATTCAAAAACCTCTCTATTATTACTTTATATTAAAATAAGGTTCAAAAATAAAGTATTATTCTCTTCGATAGATACTACGCGCCGTTAAATATTTGAAAAAAAACATTGCACCATAAATAATACATCAATTAATACTTATAATATTGGAATCACCGCTCGAGAAAGAGTACAACGGGCTAAGACAGTTAGACAAACTAAATTATATATTTTTTATAGAAATCGAATAGCAACAAAAAATAGATAATGGCCTAATATACTTTGGCAAATAGGCCATACTTTCACACAGCATAAGTAATTGTTATTTTGTATCTTTGTAATTATTTACAATTGTAATTATTGTAAAGTAAATATTATTTTGAATTTAATGTATCTGATGGCGTTTTGATATATAATTGTTTATGTCTAGGCATTGTGACGAATTCAAAATACACCAACTATCTGACGACATATTTCTTGATATTGCCTTCCTATATGAGCAGCTAAATAATAATCACTACTTTTCTGTAAAAATGAGTTTCATTAGATTTTTGTGTATGCGAATTTTTTGTCCAGATGAAATGATTTTTGACTAAACAATTTTGAAATATCCACCTCAGAGTGCTACTGCTCTTGTATTCTTATATAAGCAGCTGGATTATAATTACTACTTTTCAGCATAAAAGGGTTTAAATGCAGTTTTATAAATCAAATATTTTGGACTTAAAAAATTTGAAATATGGACCTTACATTACTACCGATGCGTGTTCCTTAATCCTAAGTAATATTCTGAAGTATTTAACTTCATCTTTCAATGTGGATATTATATAAAACAAACATATTTTGGCTTCTCATTATTCGTATATATATCGATTTGCTATAAGTTCAGTCATACCACTACCTCAATGAGTGGGACCGTTACCTCCACTCCATTCCTCTATATAACCGCAGCTTTCGTGACCTCAGTTACAAAGTTTACCGCTAACCTCGCCCCCCGCTCATTTTGCTCTAACCCCACCCCCTTCTTCATAACCCAATTTCCCTAATGTACGCCCTTACTTTCTGGCTTAGATAAATCTAGCTCGCTAGGTACTAAGTCTATTTTTTCTCCTCTTTCCCCTGATTACTGGAATGAAGTTTACACAATGCTGTGGAAATCTTCTCCATTCATTCCTAAGAGGTGGTTTAGTGGGTTCAAGTCTCACGCGGTAACTTTCGATGCTTCCAGTCATAATTCTTAAATAATCCATTTTTTTAGATCAATTTTTTATTTTACTGAACACTTCTGAAATTTCAGGGAGATCAATATATTATAATGATAATACTCCTAATTTTTTAATATCGATACAAACTTTTATTTCTTTTGAAGTTAACATTGAAACTATGTTTAAAGTACATATTACTTGTAAATTACTCTATAATGTCTTCTAGAAATTATATGCACGTTGTTAAATGTACAACAAATGTCGCATCATCATCATTATCATTAGTGGTGCAACGATCCTAGTTGAATCTTGGCCTCCCTCAAATTTTGCAGACCTACTTTCACACCAAACGGCACTTATTCGTCTGTGCAGAGGTGTCGTTCCAGGAAATATACCTAACCGTTCTTCGAATCTTATCTCCCACTTCTTAAGATTTATGAGTAATTTTATGTTAGACTTTATATGTTTAGATATTTATATAGTTAAGTTTTGCTATGTTAATAGTAATGTCACTGATTAGAGTTGGGGACTGTGTCACTTTGAGTTCAATTTGGATGTGCAATAACTATTGTTCACGTACTGTAAATGTTTAACATATTTATCAGTTTTGTATGAATAATTTACTCATCTGTTGGCATAAACTACACATATATAATATATTTATCTTTCCCTCAACAAAGTAAACAAAGTAAAATTGTTTATTTTGCTTACATTTCCATTTGTTTCAGTTCAAATAACACGTAGGCGTCTAAAATGTTTTAATCTCTTCTTTTTCTATTTGTTCTGTTATTATAGAGAGAGAGATGTTGGATTCCAAGATACATGGAAAATGTTGTTGGGCTCTGGTAATTATTTTCATGTGTATTTTCATTGCCGGTTATGGTAAATATTTTTATCAGATACAAATGTTGTGCATATGGATTTAAAAAAAACTTATGTTAAATTACAGTAAAACAAGGAATTACAAATTGGATATTGAAATTTTTACTATTTAAACGGGAGAGATATTTATGAGTACTCTGCTTTATATGATTGATAGGACTGAATAGAATGTGTTTATCTATTCTTAATTATTTCAAATATTTATTTGTGAGTTAATACTAAAATTAATTTAAAAGTTAACTAAGAATAAGCAACTGGAGTACTAGATCCTTAACACTGAAATTTTTACAAATAATAATATATATAATATATATATATATATTATATATATTATTATACAATATATTATTATACAAATAATATAATAATAAGTTTAAGTAAAATATACTTGTAATATATTTATATGGAATGGCTATAATAAACCTTTTTCTGATATTAGCGCGTCGTACATAAGACTAGAAAGCATCTGCTGTTATATGTATATATGGTGTATAAAAAAAAACTATTTTATTTTTTATATACATAAATGCATATCAATAAAATCATTAATAATAAAAGCTGTAATTAACTATCACTTTACCTAATGTATTGATAAGATTTATGTATAAAAATATTTTAATAGTTATATATTTATACATATACATTTAATAAGTGTAGTACTGAATTACTGGTTTCCAACCCACTCTTTAAGTTTATAAAAAAAAAGCAACAATTGCTTAGTATATAAAAGCAAATAAACATTTCCGCTAAAAAGCAAGTTGGCGTTGATGTTGTTTTACCAACTGATGAATTGCTTATATTATTGCCTTCAACATCACCATACCGTTGAGAATAACCCAATCCACATCTTGCTTGACTCATTTTTAGCTCTTTTATTTACTTTTATTATATACTAGCAGCGTCGCCCTTTTTTCTTTGTTTTCTTCATGGAATGACGGCTGCTCCTCTGCATTTTTTTTTATTTTTATTGCACTTAATTTTAATGAGAAAATAAATTACCGTTTACAAAATATTACCTTAATGTATCTAATGATTTTTAAAAACTTATTATTTTTTATTATTATTTTATTATTATTAATTATGTATCTAAACTCAGTCTTAAATATTTCTCGTGCAGGTACACAACAGTATCTATCAAAAAGAACGTCAAACACTGAAGTGAATGCTATCCGAGCAATTTTGTTTTTGTTTTGCTGTGGTGGAAACACAGCAAATGTCGAGTGTGCTCTCATATTCATTTGTTCATCCAACAGAGCTGAATTATGTGATGGTTAAGAGTCAGAAGTTCAATTGTAAACACAAAAATATAACAAAATCAAAAAATATATTTTTATGTATAATATACAATATTATACAAGACACAATATATTTAATAAAAAAAATTATAAATTATTGAAATCGTTATTAAAAAAAAAATTAATTTCCGATAAAAAATATATTTAATTATTTTCAGCATAAAAAAAGTCATTAAAAACTAAATAGACTATATAAAACCTGCAGGTTTAACGGATCACTCAATTTTAAAAGAATATAGTTTTGGCGGTAAAAACGACACGCTCGGTGAAACTACCTGCCACATTCACACATTTTTTATTAAAACAAATATGGATATGGAAATACTGTTTATCACAAATTTTTGGAAGAAATTTTGAATCATACAATGATACTTCAGAATTGCTTTTTTTTCCACTTCTTAAATTATTTGGTACAACTTTTATTATGAATATCATATCGTCATGTGAATATTCCGGTTTTTCATTTTAAAAACAGCTTGTTTGTGATAATAAATATCAAAACATATGAATCATCCACTTCACAGATAAATACATTTCTCTTTTTCAAGAAACGCTGAATATACATGCATTATTTACGCGCGCACTCCTTTGTATAAAAAAAATCAAACATTATAATTTACCCACTTATACACACTCACTTTTTCGTGATGAACTAAATGAACTTTTTGCCAGACCTGGGAATTTTCTTTGTTTAACACTTTTCTGAACGCGTAATATGAACTTTGAACCCGTAATTTTTCACTAAATTCTGTAGCTGCAAAAATAGTTTTATCACACAATTTTTCTTAAATATATAAATTAACACTTTTTAATATTTTCAGTTTATGGAATACGTTTTAAATATGCATTAAAACTAAGTGAAATTACCACGACTGTTAGTTGTGAGATGTTTTCTAGCAACTAAAATGGCGGACGTTCATCGCACGACGCAAGAGTATAACATATTACATTCAACTCTCACATTAGATTATTCATTTTTACACTGAAAAAAATGTATGCTACAAATTTATTAAAAAGCACTATAATATATATTAATGTTATATATTAATGTTATATATATATATAATGTTATATATATATATGGTCGCCTTGATATTATGACGTATTATAGCACATATATTCATTTGTTATTTGTATACTCAAATATGACAATGTTCTATATATATTTCAGTAGTACAATTTATGATTTGGCACTTTACTCAAAAAAAGAGTTATTTATTTTACGCAAAAATATATATTAATTAATTGATAATTATTAGAAATATTAAAAAGAGATTATTTAATTTCATATATGTATGACCTTCATATTTTATATTATAGCCATTTATTATATATGTAAATAAATATCATTATAAACATGCATATAATGATAACAAAATTAAAAAAACTTATAACTGTTGTTAAATTATAAGTGGTATTTGGAAATACTCCTGTACTCTGTAATGTACTCTGTAATTTAGTTAAGTTGTTTTTGTGAAATTAAGTTATCGAGTTAACAAACTGCCAAGAGATCAACTCTGACAATTTTTTCAGTACTCAGTGAAACATTAGATGATTCTTATAACGCTGAAGTGTTACACAAAATGAAAATTTACTTAAAATTTCAAGTTCTGCTAAACTCAATACCTGTTTTAATGATATTTTGTAGACGTAAACATCTATCAGTTATATCGCATACTATGTAAAATACAAACTAAATCAAATTTAGCTATTACCGGACCATTTCATTTGCTTTTTATGATAGAATGAAGAAATATGGCATTATATGATATATCCACCCCACGGCCTCTATGTGACATGGACACGCACAAACAGATGGTAGTATGTAATTTATTGCTAGTAAAGACGCGAAATTTAAACTCAGTCCACAGAAATCTGTAAAAATTATTCTATAAAAATTCTGTGATCTAATTCTTTTGTACTTCAATGCCTTTGCGCACAGCTCTTCTACGCGTCCCGTACCATTGCGCCTAAACGGATTCGAGGCAGTGGCGTAAAACTCATAAATGTAATTAAAACTTTAACTTCAATTTCATCATACCCCTAATCACAAAGTTAAATACTCTTAGAAGAGTACTTAAGTATGTTAAGATCTAACTGTATATATATACATATATTAATGTAAGTTTCTAACATTAAGAAAACCATGTAAAAATGAAATTATACCTAATAAAACAAAACAAAAAGTGACATAAAGGATTGTGCAAGGTTGCTGTAAACAGGGTCCATTTCCAATTTGGTTAGATCATTGTACATTCTTTTCAAATGAAAGAATTTTATTACTGGACTATATTCAATTTTTTCCATTTTATAGAAAATCACCAAGGTGCACTGTTTCAATTATTTGCAAGTAGCTATCCAAACATCTGATAAAGTCGAAACTTTTACAGCTGTCGTTTAAGCCTTGTCAGTAATACAAAATATAATTTTGTTCTGGCGCTGCCACATGTTGTGAAGTCTGGTACTCAATCCAGCTAGTAGTATACAAACGTATACTTAAATTTTATCAAGCTGGTAATACTATTTAAGCATGACAGCTTATTTATCAAAGAAAGAAGGTTGCGTAAATATGGCGTCTGCAAGCGAGGAGGAAAACGTTTCTGGTAAAATATTAATTTCATTATGAATTTTTATATTTGAATGTTTGTTTTTTAACAAATTTGAATTCAGCGATGTAATTACTCTACTAATTTCTTCTTTAGAATTTGGTATTATGCATTAACTAATATTACTCGCAGCGTGTAGTACAACGTGTGCGGTGTTATATATGAATGACATTTTTATGTATCTCACATAACAAATATTCAATTAATAATTTTCTTTTACAGGACGGCGCACACGTTCTGGTAAAAAAGTTGGTTCACCGGTACGTGCAACAAGACGATCCACCAGAAAACAGGCGCATGAACAGGTCAGTTACATAGAATGTTTAACGTTGTAATTATATTAATTTTAATGTTATACATTTATGATGAAAAACCTGCAAATAATTAACGAATGCGGCGTTGTTCCATTCGTATATGAAAACCGATGATTTCTTGCAAGGGCCAACTGAAATGTAGTAGCATATGTCAAATTTTTGATATTGCAGATGATCCTTTGAAAGTTAACAGCTCTTTATTTTTGCATTTTCATGCAAACTTATGAAATTAATTTAAAATTTATAAACATAATTTAAATTAAATAATTTTCTGCAATAAGAGAAGTAATTTTATAATAAGAGTTATGAAACTTTTTTGGATCGAATGTAGTTTTCAATAATGTGTTTTATGGTACATAAAATAATTCTAAATTTTCAATTTTTAGACTCTCGAATCCGAAGTAGAACAATCAGACATTATAAAAGAAATGCTTGCCGAAGCTGCACAAGGAGTTATCAAAGTTGATAGTGAAGATGCAGTCATTTTCGATCCTGATAGCCAAAATTTAACTGATGATCAGAGTGTTATATATCAAGAAGAAGTTGTTGAAGTTGAACATCAACAACATATGGACGACAATGAGATCTATAGCGTAATTGATGACGAACATATAAATTCGGAAGTTACTGTTGCAAACGATGAAAAAAGTTCGTCTTTTCCTTTTGGCATTATTGGTCATTCAGAAACCTCAGATGAGGCGCAAGTTGAAGAGGTTTCTGAGGAAATAAATGATTCTGGTGTAGTTGAAAATTCATTACTCGCATCTCTAGTTGGAGACAACGCAAATAGTTTACCGTCGGTTGGTGGTTGTGAAGACAATGATATTAAGAAAGAAGATTTCGATTCAAAAATAGAAAACCCAATGCATTCTAGTTGTGAGAAAATGGAATCAGATGAATCAAATACTGAAGCAGCTATAGCTGAAGATATTGCTGGTGTAGATGATGGTAGCAACGCTACCATGGTTAATACTGAAATAATATCAGAGGACGAATTACCATTACCAACCAAACCAGAAATAAATGACGCTGAAGAGGTATCAGATGAGGAATTACCTGCGCCTAAACGGGCCGAACTACCAGCCGATGCCGAAGTTATATCAGAAGATGAATTGCCGGCAAATAGTGCAGCTGAAAGAAAATCTCCAAGTGATTCACCAAAACGTGTTTTAAAAACTGATTTGCAGACAACGGATCAAAAAATATACAAACGAAAGGCCGATGATACAGATAGCGAAAATCAATCAATTACACAAAAAAAATCAGATGAACAGTATAATCCTATGAGTCCGACTTCCGAAAGTAATGATGCACCACCCATTGAGAAGAAAGCTAAACTTGAGTCCGACGGTAAATTTTTAAATTATAAATATTAGTTATTGTTAAAGATAATATTATTATATTTTAGAAACTGAGGCTAAGGATCGGAGGAAGGATAAAGAAAAGGAAAAAGAACGCGAAAAGACTAAAGAGAAAGAAAAAGAGCGTGATAAAGAAAAGGAACGTAAACGACTACCAGAATTAGATAAATATTGGCGTGCAGTTAAGGAAGATACTACTGATTTTACTGGGTGGACATATCTGTTACAATATGTAGACAATGAGGTAAAATTGAACCACTTTTATAACTATTTTAATGGTTAGAAATTAGAGTGTATCTTTAAATATAATTAAATTAATATTTTAGTCAGACGCAGAAGCCGCTAGAGAAGCGTATGATGCTTTTTTAAGTCTTTATCCTTATTGTTATGGTTACTGGCGTAAATATGCAGACTATGAGAAGCGTAAGGGTATCAAAGCCAATTGTAATGCGGTGAGTAAATGTAAAATTCAATCAAATACAGTTTCAATATTTTGTACTCTATATATATATATTATAATACAATTTTATATTATTAATAAAAATAAAATGAAATTTATTATTGAAAACTATTTTCAAAATATTCGTTAGGTTATAATTCGTTGTAAATGGATTGTTCTTTTTCAATAATTGTGCACAATAGAAAAATATAAATACATATTTGTATTTTTAATATTTGATATATGCGAGTTTTAAATAAAAGTATAGTATGATATATTGTTTTCAACAAAATTTGGTTTGTGTTTAAACTTAAAAGAGAAATCATTATTTTTTCGCATTTTGCAAAGGCGAAACTGATTTGATTTGACTTATTCTGAACAAATTATTCACAACGTAATTTGTTATTATTAATGAAATAATAGAGCTAAAAAATATTTCTAATGAGCTATGCCTTTAAAATAAATTTTTAATTATATGTTATGCACAGAAGTCACATGAAACTTTTAATTGCAAAATGTGTTTGTTTAATTCCTAAAAATCACATTTTCTGCACATAAATATCTAAACTTTTAAAAAGTAATTTCATTTGGTGCTTAAACGGTTGGCTGAATATTTTACTCTTGTGGTTCTCTGTGGTTGGGTCAGTTTAGTAATATTTTGTATTTGGAGTTTTTTTCGTCAGATCTACATTCCATGCAGCGCATAATTTATAAATAAAAAAAAAAAAAAAACAAAGTACCCGTTTACTGCATATTCGTAAGTACAAATAGAATAAATGAAATTAATTATTGTATGTGTTATATTAAATATCATTAAGTTAGTTTGTATTTAATTATAATATATCTTTCACTTACAGCAGGTTATATTCTGTGAATTCATTGTGATTTGTGCGTGTTTTTGACTTTGATTTAATAATCAAAATGTGAATAATTTAAAT